GATACTTAGGGAGCTTTTAAAGCATAGATTATTGAGCCAATAGACTAGAATGGCTCAAAGAAATGCTTATTTCGCAGATCACTGAGGCGGTCAACGGTGACAGCTCAGACACGTCTGCCAGGTGCCTAGTGGTTCATATCCAAAAGGAGTAATAAATAAACTCAAAGAGAAAAAGACTATGTAGCATCACGTTCTTAGGAAAAAAAAAAAATAATACTTTTCACTTAAACTCCAAAATGGAAAAAGTGGTTGCTACAAGATTTAGGAGTTAGACTTGGTGTATGAGTTTCAATTATTTGAAATACTGACGTACAAATGAAGGTCTGCAAAGTACTTATTTTGTTGTTGTTTCTTAAGATTCTACTAAAAGTGGGAAATTTAGGGCAGATTTGCTTCAAAGGTCCTTGAAGGGAGAGTGTGCTTCTCATAGGGACTTCGGTTAGGCTGTGGTGCGCCCTGTCGGTGTTGGAGACCCAGTCCCAGCCCTGCGCTCAGGGACCGTGGGCTGGCCGAGAACCACGCCCCTGCTGGAGGACGAGCAGAGCAGCCTCCGCAACCCTGTTGTTTCCCGCGTCATCTCTCCTGACGAAGCTGTGCTTCTGCCATGTGGTCTGAGCGAAACGACTGTTAGGTTGCAGGCGTTTCTGGGTTTCAAATTATATTGTATTTACAGGGGGAAATAAGACAAACTAATATTTAGCTTTCTGTAAGAGTTTAAATCAGCTTTTCGACAGTTTGCATCTTATTATTTTTCTATTCCAAAATATTTTCTCGTAACAAATTTAAGTGTGAGTTTTAAGAGAATGGTACAAGTATGTTAATACGTAGTAATGTTTACCTGTTAATGCATGTGATGTTAACATCATATGATCAGCAGCTAATGGTGTGTGCGCCTTTGTTCTAGATGGTAGTTTGGGGAAGTTTTTATCCCATGAGACTTGGTTCTGGCCTGGTTGCACCCTGACTTCTCAGGGACTGGGTGGCAGGATGAGGCGCAGCGCCAAGGCGGATGGCAGTGGTGCTGTGTCACGGAGACAAGGTGGGTCCCATTTGTCCACAAGTGCAGTAAAGAACGGGCTGATCTTTACTTGATTAAGCAGGAGAATACCGTATTTATCCTTTATTGTTGGTACAAACCATTATTTTCCTGAGCACCATTAGCTGTTTAAAACTTGGTACATAAATTAAAGAGGAGCTAAGTGGATTTGTGATCGCTGCCATTACCAGCATTTAGATTATACAGGCAATTATTGTGTTCATTATCCTAGAACAGCCCCTTTGCAGAGCCATTGTGGTGACTTAGACATTATGCACAAATTCTCCCTTAGAGATTAAAATTTCCAGTAGCGTATTTAATTTTGTTATCACAATTGTTTCAAATAAAACAAATATTGTGACAAGTAGAAGAAAATTTGGTTTACTAATATAGGAAATTATAATAAAATATTGAAAATTACTTCCTAGTGTACTTAATTTACCTTTTCTTATACAGTAATAATTACTTCAAGTGGTTATTAATATATTTTATGGGTGAAAAGGCTTTGCAGTCGTAGCAAAAGATATCTGGTCTGTTCAGTGTTCCGAGAAATTTTTTAAAGACGAGATAAGTCACCGCCTTCTCTACAGAATCGGAAACTTACCAGTGAACTTGTTTACACTAGTTTCTCAAGTCCATTGCATTTTAGACGAATGGAAGAAATTTAAATGTTTTCTAGAGAAATAAATATAAAATATTAACTATTAATTGAAAGTAGACTTTTTTAAAAAATTAGTTGAAATATATCTTTTCTTCTCACTGTGTTTTGTTAGAATTGGCGAGAACAAGCAAGCTCACACAATACGCTGTAGCTTTTTTGCTATTATTTTCCAGAAAGAATTGCCACAGTTCAGGACAGGCTACCTGCAGGAAGGCAGGGAGCAGCCCGCCAGTGAGAAGCTGGGTTTCGCTTCGCATCCTGCGGCGGTGGGGGTGGGAGAGAACACGCCCACGCCCACGCCCACGCCCACGCCTCACCCACGAGAAAGGCCTTCCTACTGGAGCCTCTGGGGTGTGCACGCCCTGCTTTCATTCTTCCCTCCTGTGCGTGTTCAGGGGAAACTCTGTGCCCGCTCCTGACTGTTTATCCCTGCTGCTCCAGCCTTCACGAAAGTGTGAGGCAGTGGGTATACATTCTGCAAGACAGTGATTCTTTATTTTATTACAAAAAGACCAACTCTGGAAGGCCAGATTAAATCATTCCTTTCACTTTTTAATGGGATTTGGATGAATAGAGTAAAATATGCACTTTGCATTCATTGATAGCATCTTTGGGTTGAGGTAATTGAGTCCTTTTTCCCTGACTGAATGAATGATGACTTCATCTGACCCTCAGCGAGCCTGAGACTTAGGCCGCCTTTGTCACAGCAGAAGGAGCTGGGCTTTGAAACATGCTCTGCTTCCCTGGCTTAATTTTTCTTCATTTTAATCCAAAACCCTATTTTTCTCAATAATTCAAGCATAAACTATGTAGTAGTTGAAGGAGCGGAAATTGCAAGATATTTGTCCTCTTTGTGCTGCTTTTTAAATGGAGCTGATAAATCAGGCGGGTCCTCAGCTGCCTGGTTCTCAAGGGAAGCACAGCCCGTGGCAGCCCTGTGGGGAGTCCCAGCCCTGGTCCCGTGGGTCCTCCAGCCCGCGGGTCTGGGGGAGGGCAGGCTGGGTGGCTCTAGCGGCACCTGCAGGTGCCGAGCAGGTGACCCGAGGACACTGAGCACTGCTGAGAACTGGCGGGAAGGGCCCCCACCCCGTCACGCAGAAATACTGCAGGTGCTCCCACAGACCGCCCGCCAGGCCTCCTCGGCTCCTGCGCGAGGGTCTGTGCTAAGTGACCAGATGCGCCGTGTTTCACAGGCCTTGGGCTTTCTTCCGGGGCCTGGTCGGCACTGGGAGGGGGCGGGGCCTGCAGCAGGGTGGGGGCTGGGGGCGGGGCCTGTATAGCCAGCCTCGCAGAGGTAGAGGTCCCGGGGCTCCCAGCCCTCCCTGCGGACCCGTCGGTGGAAGTAGAGCCCGTACTGTGGACAAACATCACTCACGTCTGGGTCCCAGTTGTCATTTTCATTGTTTCTACGCTGTTTTCAAAGGCCATGAAGTGCTAAGCAATAAAGTTGGCTGTGAGCTGTCAGAAGTGAATCTAGGCTGGTCAGTGAAGAAAGCGTTCTAGTTTGCAGTTCTCTTTCATAGTGTTTATCACAGGTGTCCATCTGATTTCTCCTACTGGATTGGCTATTTATTGTGGGTAAAATCTCACAGTTCACTCATTTTTCATGACCTTAGAGTTTAGCATAAAAATATAGTAGACATTTCCATTTATTTGTATAATGAATTTTTTTCACAGTTACACCTAATGGATTTTCTGACAAAGTTTTGTGTTCTCTAACTACAGGTTTAATGTTCTGTTCTCATGAGAGTTTGTGGCAAATATTAATTCAAAACAGATATAAACTATAAATACATAAAATGTGGAAAAGACTGGCTTCTTATTGGCCAAAATTGTGGATTTCAAAAAGTGCTACAAAATAAAACAAGTTAACAATTAGCTCAGTAATTCTTAAACTTTTAAATTTGAGAATTGCAGTATCTCATTTATTTTATCTCAGTTTTACAATCATGTTTTCTTTTTTAACTGTTCTCTTTCAAAACTTGTACCAAGTCCAGGAGCAACTCTCGTGGCAGACAGGTGATAGCCCGACAGGGATTTGCCTTCTGTTTGCGTCTACAAATCATGAGTGAGCTCAGGGCCCGTGCCAGGACCTGTGGGAACCCCCGTTACTGGGTTTCTCCAGGGCCTCTGGTGGTACGTGGGCAGCGCCAGTTCACAGTGAGGCTGAAAGAGTGTAAGGACATTCATTCCCCAAGGTCACACAGTTAGTGGAGACGCAAATCCAAGTTCTTAATGATGATGGTGAGAATATGATAACATGTACGTGGGCTTACCCTCTACCAGGGCTGTTCACTTTCGTGTCTCATGTAGTCCAAGTCCAGTCCTGTGTGGAGGGCACTGTGACCCCCGTTTCACAGCCCGTGGTTTCCCAGCCAGGCGGCCGAGCCTGCGTTCCAGTCGGCCTCCCCCGGGCGTAGGAGGAATCATGACTGTGTGGCCCCACTTCTCCCTCTGCCTGGTGCTCCAGACCTTCCGGAGCCCAGTGCCCCACCCCCACGCTGCACACTGTGTCGCCTTGTGGTCTTTCCGTCAGGACATTAAGCAAGAGAAGGACTTTGTCGGTGTCGCCAGAGCTTGAAATGGAAGTTGTGCGCTCAGAAGTGCTGCATCCCCTTCGCTTGCAGAGCAACAGGCATTTGGGTTGCTGGTTCTCACTGTGTCCAGACCCCACACAGAACTCAACCAAAAACGGACTGACCCATTGAGTAATTCTCGCTCTCCACCTGCTCAGCGAGCACGTGGTGTGCAGACCAGCCTGGTGCAGGTGCTGGCCGGAGGGCCTGAGCCGGGCTGCGCCACCGGCGGAGCGCTCGCTGCCCGCACACAGCTCGGCGGCTGCTGCTCCGGTTGGGGGCGCTCCTCTCCGAGCCTGGCAGCCAGCGGGGCTGGGCTCTCCTGCCCTTGGGCCTCGGTCTAACAGAGTTCCGCTGCGGATGCGCAGCCTCCACCCCTGACACTCGGAGAGCTGACCGAGCTCCGGTCCGCTCGGGCCTGTCCTCTCGCGCCGCGCCTGTCCTCCGAGCGGCCACAGCGTCTCCCCGGAGACAGGCACTTGTGGCTGGACACACGGACTCGTGAGGCCTGGACATGCTCTGGGAGCACAGCTCGTTTTCAGAAACTGTCTGCATCTACCTCTAAGAGCCTTTTCAGGAGAAAACTGAAGCTGATACAGTTTTGTATTTCATTTCTATCAAAGGTCAATGCAGAAGAAACTTGACGGATGTCATCACTGTCCTGTGTTCGGATGTGTGATGCCAGGGGACATTAGACGTGTGTCCTAATTCCTTGTTTTCCTTTCAGGTGGGTCTGTTGGACCTTGAACTCAATCAGCTGACCAAAGCGCTGTTCTTGGCGTTAGTTGCCCTCTCGGTTGTCATGGTAACCTTACAAGGATTCGTAGGCCCGTGGTACCGCAACCTCTTTCGGTTCCTCCTCCTCTTTTCCTACATCATTCCCATAAGGTAGGTTGAAGAATTAAGGTAAAACAAATGTCCGTTTTCATTGACTGTGATTTAATTGAAGTCTGTTTCTCAGTGTGAAGGAAACTGTCCGCACAGAGCTCAGGAGAAGGAGCAAGAGCTGCGGTGAACCCCAAGGGGTCCGTCCATAGAAAGTAATATTGGGAGGGGGCAACATCAGTTTGGTCAGAATAATCTGGAAATCTTGCATTTTATCTTATATAAATGTATTCATAATATAATCTTCAATAATTGGGAGATCTAGACATAGAATGTAAATCTGAATCCAACAAAATAGTTTTTGTTTATTGCTGATAGACCTTTGTTTCCACTGCCCCTCGGTCTGTATGTGATCATTGACATTTCAAAGTTATCTATATTCCAGAGACCTTCTAATACACCTGTCAAGAGACAAAATCCTGCGTAAGGCGGTCTTCTAATATGAACGATTTTTCAAAATGATAACCCATTTAACTTGAGATTGGGATATAAATAGTTGATATCAGATGTCTTTAATTTAAAGACTAATATTGGTAACATGTATATATGTCCATTTTAAGATATTTCCACAAAGAATATTTTTTAAAAGATACCCTTAATACCTATGATTGAAAATTTTACATGAATTAAACCCTAACACAGCACAGAGCAGGGCCCAGAAGAGCCGCTTCTGTGCAGAGAGCGGGGACCGTGCGAGCGGCGCAGAGACGCCGCGCTTGGAGGGAGAGGCGCACCTTCCGCCACAAAACAAACCGGCTCTGCCGGCTCCTCCGCAGGGGCCTCTCACCCGCGTGTCCTTGCGTCTCCGTGGCGCCTGGAGGGGGGCACAGGGCGCCCCCCCCCCTCGCCGCAGCGTCTCCCCGCCCTTCAGCAAAGCGCCGTCCTTGGGGACTCCTCGGCGCTTCTCTCCGCTGCTAGTCTTGTTTCTCTTGTTTCTCCGCGCTGCTGCTGCTGTTACCCGCGCGGCCCGAGGCCCGGCCCTGCCCCGCCCTGCGCTCTGCTGTCCTCCCGCCCGTGGCCCTTGGCTGGGCTGCTTTGTTGCTATGGACCGTCTCCAGTTTCCTTCTTTCTTCAGTAAAATAATAATATGAGAGACTTGACACCTTCTTCTTTATCAAATTAATTGAAAAAATTCACTGGAGGTACAAATGTTAATACATAAGCATTTTAAAACTAAAACTGGTTTTTTAAATATATATTTCAGTTATATATTTTATACTAAAAGTTAGACAATACCTAATAATCAGAGAAGGAAGGAAGTGTTCTCTCCAGCTGTTGCTGAGTTCTGCGAGGGCTTCCAGATGTGCGCACACAGACTCGTAGATGTGAGGGTGTGGATTACAGACACAGCACCCACACACCCTCCTCCGTCTGCACCTCCCTCTGCAGTCTGCTTAGGGGACGGGAGGCACCAGCTTTCTGTGAGTCTGTCTTGTTCTAGTTTTCAGTCCACAGTTTAGCATTTAGCATGCTCGTTGGAGCTCGGAGAGATGCTACACAGGATTGCAGCTGCACCTCCGTTTGGCCCAACACGTCTTGTGTGTACTTCACCCTGAAGCTTGTTCTTCAGTCTGAGGACGCAGTTGGACAGACTCAGCAGGAGGGACTGCGAAATGTGGAAAGTGTAGCCCACTCATTGAGGGAGTGAAGGTTTACATTTGACTCAACCAAGGTGGTTTTCCTTTGCAAAGTTTCCATAAACTATGAATAGTAATACATTATAGTATGTGCTAAATGTGCGTTTCCATTTAATAAAGGATAGAGTTTAAAACACTTTTTGTTTTGCAAAGTGCACAGTTCCGGAAAGTGCTTTTCTCCTCCACTGACCTAACACTCCTACACAGCTCCCACATGGGAGAAAGTGAAGCTGCTCTACAGACATTCGTCTTCACAGAGCAGAGCACGTCGGAGCCGCTTGACGCGTCACTCTCTCCTCCAGGGAAACATCACAAGGCTCAGCTCTTGCTTCCGTGACTGAGACGGACACACACTCCCTGAGTCGTGTCGCTCATGACCAGCAGCAGACGGGCTGTCCCGGCTCTTGACGGGGCATTTGGTTCTGCCGGGCACAGAGCGAACAGTTCCTGGTCCAGGTGGTTGCCGCCCCTTCGCCGCACGCAGCGACGTGGGTTCACGCCCTGGTGGAGAGCGCTCTCTTCGGTGCTGGGCAGTTTCCTCTCGCTCATGGCCCCGGGGCGGCAGGTGCTGGGGGGGCTGTCCGGGCGCCTGACTCAGGCATCGGGGAAGACGTCAGTGCCCGGGAGACAGGGCTCTCCTCTCCTGCGCCGAGTCAGGCTGGCAGGGCAGTGCCCATGCACTCACTGCCCACCGGCCCTCCGCCCGAGGGACCCCAGTGCTGTGCTCAGCTCTGCGCACCGCACACCGCACACCGTGAGCCGGACGTCCAAGGTGTCAGATGGCACACGTGCAGATGTGCTTCAGAATTTAACTTTCCTGAAGTTTGATTGGAGGAAAATTCTTAGGAGCTTGTTATCAACTTATATGTACAGGTAACATACCCTTTCTGTGCATTTTAAAGCTTGTATTGAGCTACTAGCCATCTCTAGTCAGGCCTCATTTCCAGGTCGAATACTTGCAGGAAAGAGTGTTTTCAGCCTTTCTGAGGCCTGGGATGATACTCAGGTGTTGATGGTTCAGGAAATGTGTGGTCTGTGACGAGGCTAAAGACACTAGCATGAGAAGGTTCAGGGTTCAGAGCGCGTGTCCAGGAGAGGAGCCAGCGGTGTGCTGGACAGCCTCTTGCCGCAGATGTCAGGTGCGACTCGTGGGTCTGCTCAGCCGTCTCAGCAGGAGCCAGGGCCAGGGGGGTCATCCAGGAGAGATCTGTGGACGCCCACCCCCACGCCACCTGTTCACACACAGGAGACTCAGAGAGGTTTGGAGACTGTTGGAAGGAGCAGAGACAGGACATGAGAGAAGTCCGTTGGACTCCCGAATTCTTCAGGCACAAGATGGGCCGCTAGCGCTGCCCGGCGGGAGGGATGCCGTCTGCAGGGGACGGCAGCTGGCCGTGCTGGTGCCCAGCGTCCCTCCCCGGCGCTGCCTCGGGCGGCCTTTCTCAGTCTGTGACTCCAAGTGCTATGCACCCAGGGCTGGAATTACGGAAGCACATCGTCCCTGTCGCAGTCGTGTGCACGGATGTTGTGGGTGGTGCTGTGTCAGGGACCCTCTCCGCCAGCTGTGATGAGTCCTGAGTTGACTCCTGAACGCCTGAGGCTTGTCTCAGACCGTGGAAGGTGTTTTAATGGTGCGAAGTGACTCTTCGTAGTATTTTTCCACACCAACTGTCTTAGCGCCCTTTACGGAAAAGACTCTCTCCCTCCGTCGTATGTCAGGTGTCCGTGTGTGCACAGGTCCGTGTGGGTCCCCACCTGGCTCCCTGGGCCTGTGTGTCGATACTCGTCACACAGCAACCTGCCTTCGGTGTGCTCTGTGACAGTAAGTCCTGAGGGTGGGACACCCTGCCCCGTGTTCTCTAAGAGGTCTTTGTGCGCCCTGGCCACCTGCATTTAAGGTTAAATCTGCCGAACCATGAATTGGCGTATCTCTTAATATAAAAATTTCTCTGTAGGAATCTTGTACAACTTTTATTAGAGCTGTTCTTAGATCCCTGATATTTTTTAAATGCTATTATAAATACTGTTTTTTGAAAGAACAATTTCTTATGTATTGGTTGCTGTTTATAGATAAATAAAATTGATTTCTATAAAATGATTAAATCCATCAATTTTGGTATTGATTAATTATTCATCTGAGTCTATTGGATTTTCTGTATAGATAATCACGTCATCAGTAGATAATGACAGCTTGTTCCTTGTGGCTCTCGCACTGTTTCCATTCCTTGTCTCTGCGGCAGAGCCTCCCAGTGTAACTTAAGTAGAAGTGATGATTGCGCACCTTCTCCCTTTGTCTCCAGTGCGGGAGGCAGAACTCTCGACCTTGCCTCATTAAGTATGCTTTGTGCTTTCATAGAGACCCTTTCATAGTCAGGAAGTCCTTTCTCATTTTGCTAAAAGTTGTTTTTAAATCATGAGCGCTTTTTTCTCTACTAACCCTCCTGCCGGAAGACTGAAAGCCAAAAGAAAAGAGAACAAAGTATCATATATGACAAAGACCTGGAATGAGTGTAGTTCTAAGAGACCGTTTCTACTACATCTATTGAGATGGTTTTTCATCTTTAAATTTTTCTTTATAATATTTTATATGATAAACTTAATTTATTGACTTTCTAGTGTCATACCTACCTTGTATTTTGAGGGAGAAAGTGCAACTTGATCGTGGTATACTATTCTGTCTTGTATTATTAGATTCCATTTGCTTGTGTTTTTTCGTGAAATTTTTGTATTGGTTTACACCAGTGGGGATGACTTAAAACTTTCCTTCTCATGTCATTTTTTTGGTGTTTAGTCTCAAGATTTTTCCAGTTTCATAAAAGGCACGGATGAGTCTTCTCTTAGTTTCTGTTCACATTTTATTTAAAATTGTAAGTATTCATTCTTTGGGTATTTGCATAGTGAGGAGACTGCATGAGCCTGAACTTTTCACTGGAAAGACATTTTTGATTTATTTAACCGTTTAAATATATTTCTTAAATAGTTATCATTAAGTAGTTGGCTTTATTTTTAGTCCTCACCCGAGGACATTTTTTTTTATATTTTGTTCAGATAGAGTGGGAGGGAGAGAGAGAGAGAAACATCGACGTGAAAGGGACACATCGAGTGGTTGCCACCCACACGACCCAACCAGGGCCGGGAACAAACTGCAACCGAGGTACGTGCCCTTAGCGGGAACCGAACCCGGGTCTCTCCGGACTGCAGGCCGACGCTCTAACCGCTGAGCCAAACTGGCCAGGGCAAGTAGTTGGCTTTAAATAGAAAACTTGATTTCAAGTTTTTAATTTCTCCTGGAGTCAATTTTACAAAGTTATTGCTTTCAAGAAACATGTCGACGGTACCTAATTATTTGAATTTATTCACAAGAGCTCGCTCATGGTGTCTCCCTGTTATCTCCTGCGGACAGAAGGTCTTTTCAGTCCTGATACTTTGTTCCCTTTTCTTCCCCTTCAGTGTTCCCGCAGGTGAGTCGCTCAGCAGTTCAAACACACTCCCCTGGGCCTCCCTCTGCGCCTGCGCCTGCTCGGGACTGTGCCTGCTTTCCTCTCACTTTGTTCGGCTGTTATGTTCCCTTCTTCTTGTGACACATGCTTCATTCACTAGTTTTTAACTTTTTCCCTTTTTGAGTACATGCCGTTGAAGCTACAAATTTCTTTCCACATGAGTACTGCTTTGGCTACATCCCAAAAGTTTACATTTTGACAGAATATTTTTAAATTTCCACTGTGATTTCTTTGTCAACCTATAGTTACTCAAAGTTATTACTTAATTTACAAACATACTTGAATTTTCTAATGATGTCTTTATTTTAACTTGACTGGCCGTTGTCAGAGAACATACCTTTTGTTGTTTCAGATTTGTGGAATTTATGGAGACTAGGTGCAGGGCCTGACACACAGGCGCTTGACCTCTGCAGACACTGTGCGCTGGACAAGGACGCCCAGCCCTGCTGTCGCCGGCTCCGTGCTTGCTCGTCAGCCGGCAGGGCTGGTCCTGTTCGCGTCCCCACCCCTGCCGGGCTCTCTGCCTCGCTGACACGTGTTCAGAGTTGTAGTCAAGCCTCCGTCAGTGTTGTGAATGTGTCTGCTTTTCCTTGGAATTCTGTCTATTTGTGGTATTACATATTTTTGTGACTTTGGTATTGGGTATATACAAATTTAAGTTGCTGTGTATGCCTGCTGAATTAAGCATTTCTCATTATAAAGTGACTTTTTTACATCTCTGCTAAAGCTTTTTGCATTAAATTCTACTTTGTTTTGTGTTAATATAACATATTATGCCAGCTGGCTTCAATTTGCCTGGCATATCGTTTTCCATATTTGGGCTTCCAGCTTCTCTGTGTACTTACATTTATGTTTCATAAATAACAAAGTTTAATTCTTATCTACTCTGATCATTTTTGACAAATGCATACACAATTATTATAATGCTGTTATATTTTTAGTTTAAATCTATAATTTTATTTTCTGCTTTTAATATGACTTATTTCTACTTCCTTACCATTTCATTTATTTTTTTTTATAATTCCACTTTTTTCTCTGGTAGTTTGGAAGTTTATAATGGGTTTCCAGTCTTTCCGTAGTTATTATCCTAGAAATCAAAAACGTTGTTTCCAGTTGACAGTGTCTGCAGTTCATCCTGCCCCTCGCTCGCCCCCTTGACTCTCCACTTCGACCTTATGCCACTGTGGTCACTCGCGTTTTATTCAGTGACTCTCAGACCCCAGAGATACTGTTTGTGCATTTCCTGTTCATTTTGGCTTATCCGTAGTTTTGTTGCTCTTTTTCTTTTTCTTCCATCTCTCACCTTTCATGCAGAGTGATTTTTCTCCTGTCTGAGTTTATTCTGCAGTTCTCGTTTAGTGCTGCCTTGCTGGGAACTCTTCAGATTTTTGCTTGGCTCTCCTTCTTGAAAAATAGTCTCACCTGTGTGTGGATTCTAAGTTGTCACGTCTCTCTCACCTTCCCTTGGCTTCTGTTTTCTGCTCTTCCTAGTGCCTTCCAGGTCTTCTCCTTCTGCGCTCCCCCACCGCCTCCTGCCGCCTGGACAGTTGTTCTTCCGGTGGTGTTCTGCTCTCTGCTACAATGTGTCTACATGGAAGTTTCTTTTCTGTATGATGCTAGGTACTCATTGGGCTCCCTAAATCTGTAGGTAGCTCTTTTCCTTCATTGTAGAAAGTTCTCAGTCGTTCTCTCTCCAAACACTGCTCCGTCCTCTCTCCTCTCTTTTGGGGACATCAGTCCAATGTCCTCACCATACCCATCGTTTCTCCTGTTCTTACTTTTGTATTTTCCACCTTTTTGTCTACAAACTTCATTCTATATCATTCCTAGTCGCCTGTTTCCCAAGTCACTAATTTCATCTTTGGCAATGTCTAATCAGCTGTTAAGCCAATAAATTTCTTAATTCAGTTATTGATTTTTAGTTGTCAGAAATTCTGTTTTATCACACTAATTGTTTCATTTTATATTTGCCTATTCCATGCAAATGTTTTTCTTCTTTTCCTTATGCATCCAACGGTTTTATAATCTCTGTCTGTTACGTGTGATATCTGATACCTTTATCAATCACTTCTGTTTTTTGTTCCGGCAGTTGCCCGTGGTATGTTGTTCACTCTGTGTTGTGTGGTGCTTGTTGCTGTGTTTTATTTGCCTTTGTTTGGGCTTTTCCTTGGTGATTGTATCTGAACAGCTGTGGCCCCTATTGCATCCGTGGGCTCCTCCTGTCCTGGAATGTCTTCCCCACATTCTAGACTCAGTCACAGATGGCTAAGGAGAGGCGAGCCTGGCCCACCACGGGCAGGCCTGGCCTCCGGGTCTCCCTTGGTTTGAGGGGGTGGCCCTTTTAGCCCATGTATCCTGGAAAGGAGGGGTTTTTGTTGGCCCCCTACCTTTAGACAGTCCGGATCCTTATTTTTGCTCCTTGTGTAGGCAGACCGTTGGCATGTAATCACAGGAAAAAGGAGATGTTGTGATCACTTACCTCTCTGATAACTGATTTGCGTTTAGCCTAGAAATTCCTCATTATCTAGTGAGTTCTTTATTTCTTTTAAGAATTAAAAAGTATTTTATATGGTATTTCTTACTCTTTTCATGAGAATATTGATTCAAATAAAATAACCTGCTTTTACCCAAGATCACAGAACTTTCTTGCAATTTTTATATAAAGAAAGCTACACAAGTCTGAAAAAAATTTCTGATGAACTTCATGGCAGTCCTTCCAAGGGTGAGATGTTGAGGTCTCGGATGTGATAAACCTCATCCTTGGGAAGGCAGCAAACTTTCTTTAGCTACACAGCACGACGACAGGCATGTCCGGTGATGTTCCGGTCGTGATGGGCCACGTACAGGAGGGTGGTCCCGAAGGAAGTTGCCGTGAGACAGTGTGTCCGGCCCTGGCCGGTGCGGCTCGGCCGTGAGAGCCTCAGCCCTCGGACCGAAGAGTCTCGGGTTCGGTTCCAGTCAAGGGCACGGACCTCAGTTGCAGTTTGATCCCCGGCCCTGGTTGGGGTCATGTGGGAAGCAACCAATCGACGTGTCTCTCTCTCACATCAGTGTTTCTCTCTCTCTCTCTCTCTCCCCCCCTTCCCCTCCCTCCCACCCATTCTCTCTGAAAATCAGTGGGAAATATCCTTGGGTGAGGATTAAAGAACAGCAACAGTGCGTCCTGTTCTGCCAGCAGCAGCCTCATACATCTGTTTACTGCATCATTTTCTCTTGTGCTCATTTAGTGTCACGTTGTTTTGTTCATCACAACCTCTAAGCATATGAATCACTGCTAATGTTGCCAGTAAGAGACGGCACACGGGCCTGGATTGGGTGTGGGTTCTAGGAGGAGCTCTGGGCCAGCCGGGGCTGCTTGCCCCTCACGGGTGTGGGGCTGAGGCCCAGAGACCATGCTCCTGCCTCGGCCTTGCCTCCCAGAGCTGCCCACCCAGTGGGAGCCACTCCTAGTAAGAGTCACACTCACGTGCTTAAGACATTCCTGTCACCTCACTCGTGGGAGCGCACCTTCCTTTACCCGTCTGCTCGGAGCTCTGCGCCTCTTGTAGCGGGTCGACCACCCAGCCCCAGGTCTGCAGGGGTCTGCACGGCCCACCTTTCTCTTTCCCGTCCAGTGTCACAGACCATGCTGAAGGGCGACGGATGACCACGTCACTGTCACCTGCAGACATGTTCTGGGGCGTAGAAAGATCTGTTGACTTCAAGGACAATAAATTCTCTTATTTTAAAGTCTAAAAATCATTTATTTCATGTAAAGTTAAAGATAATGCATATAAATAAATTTATATGGAAACCTTGAACGTGTTCGTATTCACAGGTTTGAATCACACTAACCCAGCTACGGTTTAATTTGGCAGTTTGCGTGTGAACTTGGACATGGGCAAAGCTGCGTATGGGTGGATGATGATGAGGGATGAGAACATCCCGGGCACCGTCGTCCGGACCAGCACCATCCCAGAGGAGCTGGGCCGCCTGGTGTACCTGCTGACAGACAAGACAGGTAACGCCCCCGTGTGCTTCCTCCGGGTGACCGGCTGTGTGTCCCCGTGGGCGTGTGGTGTGTGTGTGTGCACGCCACAGTATCGAGTCACAGTGAGGGTTTCTCAGACTACGCTTGAAAACGCACACAGCTGATCTTACCTTCTGATATACACAGATTTGTCAGAATTAGCAAAGTATTCTTAGAGATTGAAGTGACATTTCTGTACTTTAGATTTTCTACAGCCTACATTTTGGGGGGTTGGTTTTGTTTAACTCATTATTGCACCTCTCTAGTGGCTTTTTAAGGGCAAGAATTGCTTGTTTACTATAGACTGACACTGAGCTGGGAGGAGAGAACACGTGTGGACTGGTGGTCTCGCGATGGCTCTCTCCCGAGGGCCTCGCCCAGGTGACTCGGCACACCGAGGTTGGTGCCCCACGTTCTCCGTCCTTGTTTTGTTTTGTTCTTTTCACCAAAGAATTCTTATCAATCCATAACATACTAAATAAAAAACAAGTCTGAATGTAGCACTATAACAAAAGCCATATCTAAGGGTCAAATCCCTCCTTGATTTATTGGTTTATGATTAATTCCAAGTAATTACTAACTAGAAATAAAATAATTGTATAATGATAAAGAAAAGATGTTTCAAAATTCAGCATTTAAAATAAAATATATAAAAATTCTCACTATAGTCAGGAAGAAAAAAGAAATTTGCTAACAACACTGCTATGTAACATTTATTACTCTAGCCATTGCAGCAGGCAAAACACAGAAATAAGATAAACAACAAAAAGATGAAACCAGTGTCTGCAGTTGCAATGACCCACCAAGGAAATCGCTGGTGGAAACATCAGCCGAGCGGCAGCTTCCAGACTGAAGTGCACAGTGGCCCCTTATGTGTGGAATAGACTGGAGGCAACACCCGTTTCCGGGAGCCTCGGTCCACGTGGGGCGAGCGCGCTGGGAGCTGGCCTGAATTTACAGGAGCGTGTCAGGCCCTGTGCTGGACTGCTGTGTTCTTCTCCAGCCTGTCCTTGGGGCACTGAGGACCGGCCAGGTGGCCATGCTCAGGAGTCGGACTGACTCAGAAAGAGCAGCTTGAGGAGCTCGGGCTCAGGCAGGTCGACGGAGGAAGGGCCTTCAGTTTCCCTGACAAGCGGCATCCGGCTGGTGGGAGGTTTAAAGAATAAACAACATGGAAAGCAGGCAAAACTGCATCAGAGGATCCAGAAATTGAGTTGTTTCTGGAAATAGTCTGACAGCAGCTGGAGCAAAGCACAGCCCAAGGCTCTAAAGCTTAGGAGGAGACATTCTGAATGTAGAGGCAACACGTGCGTGGGGCCGGCCTGTGGAGTCCTCACTGCCCACCATGCTCAGAAGACCGTCCGGCTCACCACCTGTCAGCCTGGACTTTGTTGACAAATATAACCAGAAACAAGAATCACCAGCAGAAGTCAGAGTGCCAGTGTGAACAGGCGAGCTGTTCCCAAAGAAACAAGTACAATGTTTTTACAAAGAAACCCAAAGACCCATCGGGAAAATGTTTAGAATCACAAGGGAGCTTAGTTAAACATATGAATCATGTCCAAATCAAACCCCATTTTTGTGTACCCACAGTGTTGGGACACTTAATTATAAAAATGCCAGTAGAATGACAACAAAATGTATAAAGCAGTTAAAAATAAACTGGAACAAAAACAGGTAGGACTGGGTCTTCTTCCTGAGAGCATGTGACCTCAGGGTCCCAGGGCTGGATGCAGGGAGTGCTGCTGTGGCCACACGGACACGTGGTAGGTGTGCGTGGCGTTTGGTCGTCGTATGAAACATTCAGGTCTCAGTGGTCACCACGGTGGCCTCCATCACCACGAGCAGCTGGTCTGCCAGGTGGCTGCTGGGTGGAGCTCTCGGTGTGGAGGAGGTGGGCAGCAGCGTGCAGACACCTCCGAGGCCCGAGCTCCAGCTGGACAGGTGAAGATCTGCTGTCGGAGAAGCCCACACTCTACATGACTGTGAGGTGTGCTCACAGGGCTGCACGCTGGGTGTGCGCTTCATCAGGGAGCTTCTGACGGGCATCGCTGGCTGGAGCAGAGTGGAAGGTGCAGGGAGATGCAGGCTGATAACTGCATCACAGTTTCCTGTGGACAAGAAAGCAGGGCGGCGTAATTAGATTTGATTGGAGCGCACGTTTCCGGTAAGATCTGGGATTAATGATGTTGCTATAGTGACACATCTGCAGCCACCGGTTGTGAGACATAAAGGGATTCACTCAGCAGGAGCCGACATCTGCGAGCTGGCAGGATGCGGAGCACGTTGACGCTGACCAGAGACAGGCCGCTGTGTGCTGAGCCATGCTGGAGCCGGAGGGCCCTGTGCACCTCGGCGGCCGACCGTCCTCTGCTCCCTGGTCCTTTGACGGTGCCCTGGTGAGGAGCAAGGCTGCAGAGGGTGGGGAGCGGGCCTGTTGAGGCCACACATTAATTCCTTCAGTAGGGAGTTTTCGTCTTCATGCAGAACAAAGCCATTAATCAAAACACTCACTACAACAAGTTTCTTAGGACTCACATCTTAACTGTAACATCCATTACCCAAATGCCATGTTGCTTGGACTTGAAGCACAGTAAGTTTCCCAGGACGGAGGACTGGTGCTGGGCTGTGCTGCTTGTGCGGGGTGCCTGCGAGCCAGCGCTGTCCCGAGTGGGGTCCGCCGTGCTTCGGCGTGTCCTCCGTCTGAGAGGGTGCCGGGCCTTCGGTGGGAGCACTCACGAGCAGTCCGCTGGCACGGCTGCACACCACAGTGCACCCGGGTGTGAGCGCCGTCGTCCCGCCTTGGGGGCTTGGACCGGTTGAAATACTCTGCACCCGCCGCGTTGAACAGCTCGCAGCGCTGGGCACACCCTCCTGAGAAAGCCCGTGGACAGCAAGCCCTCGCGTGACCCCATACTTGCAGCTCGGAAAGAATGGAGGCAGCTCTGCCGTCGGGTGAGTGAGAAGTGTGTCCTTCCTCGTAAGGTCCAAGCAGCGTGTGTTTGAACGCACCACCCACCCCATTGTTGAACTAGAGCCTTCCAAGGAAGCGGCGTGCAGTCGGGGAGCTGCCAGTCCTGTGAGCTGGCTGCCGCCATTTCCGGTGACGGCCGCCTCGCCCTCTGCGGCAGGGCGCTCCAGTTCTGGTCCCAGGCCAGACCACCACCCAGAGCTGATCAGAGAGCCTGCGTCTGCCCTGGCCGCGCTCCTCTGCGTGGCCGTGTCCCGTCGGCCACCACCGAGGGCAGTTCCCACAGGACTTCTTCCGGTGACCCTCTGCCTGTCCGCTCGCTGCCGTCCACAGCGCTGCGTTATCAAGAGCTACAGAGACACTTCCTGCCCATGAAGCCACCGTCGCGACCAGGTCACTGGACCTTCTGACCTGGTGGCTCTCGGCCTCTGCCTGGCTCAGTTAGTCCTGCCCCTTTGCCAAGTTTCAAATTTGGGACATTCTAACGTCTGCTATATCAAGACAACACACACTGTGGAAACTCCGCTGGCTGGAGTCAGGAAGATAAGCTCTGGGAGCAGGTCTCGTCACTGGCTCACAGCAGCCGTCCGTCTTGGCACAGCGGGTGCCGCAGCGGGTGGGGGCACGTGGGCCGTCCTGCTCGGCGCCCTGGGGTCAGCTGTGGAGGCAGGACTTCCTCCAAATTCAAAAGTTTCAGGATTCATCTTAAAATATGAGAAATTATGTGTGCCATTCAACTAAAGGCATGTCTGCATAAATATCTCGGTGTCTTTAGCCCAACAAGATGTGAATACATTTATTCAAATGGCAAAATAACAATCATTCTATGGAAATGCTAGTCATTTGTTTGACTATATCAGTCTTAAATGTCTTAAAATATGATTTATTAGCAAGTTAGAATTTTAGAAGGTGTGGCAATTATTACAGTGTTTGATTCAAATGACGAACCTTCAGGGTGTATCACTGTCTCAACATCTGGCATAATCACTGGACGTCCTTCCCCACAACCTAAGTCAGAATGTTTTCATCACCCGACAGCTCCTGGTGCACAGCGTCCCCTTCGCCCCTTCCCTGCCCAGCCCTGGGCGACCCCTGACCTACTTCCTGCCTCGGTGAATTTGCAACCGGACTTTCACGCGACTGCTTCTTTCACGCAGCACCACCGACGGACACGGTGTAGCATGTGTCAGTGCTTCATCTCTTTCTATTGCTGAGCAGTATTTCATTGTGTGGACGTAGAGCGATATTGCATTGTGTGGACGTAGAGCGATATTGCATTGTGTGGACGTAGAGCAGTATTGCATTGTGTGGACGTAGAGCAGTATTTCATTGTGTGGACGTAGAGCGATATTGCATTGTGTGGACGTAGAGCGATATTGCATTGTGTGGACGTAGAGCGATATTGCATTGTGTGGACGTAGAGCGATATTGCATTGTGTGGACGTAGAGCGATATTGCATTGTGTGGACGTAGAGCGATATTGCATTGTATGGACGTACCACATTGTATTTACCATTTATCAGCTAATAGACATGAGTGTTGTTTCTGGGTTTTGCCTATTCTGAATAATGCTGCTGTGAACATTAGAGTTCTCACCAAGGCAACCAGGCAAGACCATGTGTGACCCTCTGTATAGAAAATCCTGAGGAATCTTCTAAAAATGTATTAGAACCAATAAACAAATTTAGTAAGATTTTAAGATATGAGATCAATATACCAAAATGTATTTCTGTACATTAGCGATAAACTGTCCAAAAATAGAATTAAGTAAACAATTCCATTTACAATGGCATCAAAAATAAAGTCAGTAGTGCATGGCGTCGAGATGCACAGTAGTCCCCAAATTGATCTACGGCTTCTACATGATCCTTTTCAAAACCCCGGCAGCCTTACTTGCAGAAATTCTCAAGCTGACTCTAAAGTTCATATGGAAATACAAGGGACTAATTCCAATACAATTTTGGAAAAAGCAGAGCTGGAAGACTCACACTCCTCATTTCAGAGCGTGCTGCAAAGCTACAGTAGTCGAGACAGTGTGGTCCTGCAACACACAGACATGGAGTCAAGGGGATAAAACTTCGGGTCCAGAAATAAATCCTAGGTTGATAGTCAGGGGGTTATCAAAAGGACGCCAAGACCGTCCATGGAGAAAGAACCGTCTTCTCAGCAAGCGGTGCTGGAAAACCACCAGCCACATGCAGGAGGCACCTGGACCTGCCTCACGCCATATGGACAGGTCAGCTCAGAACATCAATCTAAACAATCGTCTGTTTCCAGAAACTGTTCTATGTCTGTGTTGTTTCCTTCTCCCCAGCTCTCCTGAGCACTGCGTGAAGGGCTTTAGGTCTCCACCGAAATACAGAGTTTTGTAAACAGCCCAAGAGGAGAAAGACTAGTTCAAACCTGGGCTTCAAGTATCTTTTAAACTAAATGTGTAAATGCAATGACATAGTCAGTGTTTCGGCATCTGCTTGTATATATATCTTTGGTAACCATCTGGGGTTTTTGTGCATGTGTGGAATTACTCGAGATTTCTGTGAATGGTAACAAGAAGCCAGTGTAACAACAACAGCATTGTTGACGTTGGAGATCTCAGAACCTGAAATGTCCCCAGGCTGGTCGGGACAGCGGCGAGCTGACAGACTCTTCTCTGCAGACTCAGATTCAGTCTGCGAATGGGCTCTGGATGGGGTGTGGTGACCGTGTGCTTCTGGAAGGGAACTCTGGTGTCCACAGGATTCACTACATTGGGGACACCAGGGTAATAATCTCCAGAATAAATTATCTGTCACGTGACTCAGATGTGTAACACTTTCAACCCGAGGTGAAGGTGTGAGCCAGGAACGGGTCGCCAGTGCCAGTCGAGGTCCCGGGAGCAGGGGCGGACACTGTGCCCCCGATGGAGGCCCCAGGCTGCAGTGCTGGTCCCTCAGCCTCTGCGCCCCGTGGTTCACCGCAGACCTGGAGCCCGCCGGCCGGAACGGCACTGCGCCCAGGACACAGGGCGGACACTGTGCCCCCGATGGAGGCCCCAGGCTGCAGTGCTGGTCCCTCAGCCTCTGCGCCCCGTGGTTCACCGCAGGCCTGGAGCCCGCCAGCGGGAACGGCACTGCGCCCAGGACACAGGGCGGACACTGTGCCCCCCGATGGAGGCCCCAGGCTGCAGTGCTGGTCCCTCAGCCTCTGCGCCCCGTGGTTCACCGCAGGCCTGGAGCCCGCCGGCGGGAACGGCACTGTGCCCAGGACAGGCTGCAGCACGAGGCCGAGGCCGGTTTCCTCAGCTCGCCAGGCACGGAGCAGGAGAAGCCTGGAGCCCTGGGGGAAGACCTCCCAGGATCCACGGGCAGGCAGCCTGCAAAGCCGTCACCTGCCGTCCAGCCGAGCTGCGCCTCTCTCCGCTGCAGCAGGGACGGAACGGCCGTGTGTCTGGTTTCAGCAGTCGCGGGGGCACAGAGTGAGTGGGGTTCAGGTGAAAGGCGAGCTCTCATTGGAGCCCTGCCGAGGGTAAGGGGACAGCGCCCTCCATGACACAGTTCTGTCCACAGAGGGGGGAGAAACTGCTGCCTGAACCCGGGGTCCTCGCACTCTGCTGCTCACATTTCTTGTTGACGTCCTGCTGTTGGGGTTCAGCCAGGCTGCAGGCGCGCCCTGTGCCCCCAAACACACAGCCTCTCCAGGGCGCCTTCCACACATAGATGCTGCTGTGACCGGGACAGTGGACACTTGACAAAACAAGACATCCAAAATCAGCTCTTCCTGAAGCAGAACATCATGTGTGCAAAAAAAAAAAAAAAATTAATATTTTATGGGTGTTTTGTAGCCATGTGATAAGTCCAACCCTGACTGTCACTGGTTGGCCACGGGACTGTTGGCGTCCTGGTTCCCATCGATAAGCCCATCGGCGGGTGATCCCTCCGTGGTCTCTGAACTGCAAGCCCGGGGGCGGGGGGCAGGGGGCGGGGCGGGGGGGCGGCCACCGCAGGTCCCAGCGGCCTGACCGGCAGAGGTTCTGTGCCTGTAGTACAGCCTTGTTTTGTATTAGCTAAATGGAGAGTATTGAGGGTCTCCCTCCAGGGCCCTAAAGGCACCGCATTGTGAATTCATTGCCCCGGAAGGAAATCTCCCCAAACTCCCCAGGGGCTGGAGTGCGGGGCGGCTCTCTGCCTGCCTCTGGGCGCTGCGCACCCTGCGGCTCCGGGGAAGCCCAACCACCAAGCTCAGACACGACCTGCCCCTGCGCCCTCCCGGCCTGCCTCCCTCCCCTGCCCCTGCACCCTCCCGGCCTGCCTCCCTCCCCTGCTCCTGCGCCCTCCCGGCCTGCCTCCCTCACCTCCTCGCGCTCAGTGTGTCCGCCCCAGTTGACCAGCAGCCCCCGGAGTGGCCGCTGGGCACTGTCCTCAGCCTCCGAGGAGCCAGCGAGTGCACCTGCCCCGCCTTCCCCTTCCGCCAGGGCCTAAAGGCATCTGCTCCTGTTCAATTAAAAATACTGTTTCAAAATAAGGGGTTTTTGAAACACAGACACACTAATTTGGCGCCAGCTGCCTTGCTCAGCGTGCTCTGTGGGCAGTCAGAGCCGTGATCGGTGCTGCAGGCTCAGGCGTGTCTCGGAACCAGCAGAAAGTGCGTAAGTCGCAGATATGCGCCCAGAGGCAGAGACGCACTGCCTTCACTGCACTGGGACCCTTCACATCATTGCAGCCATTGAAAAGGGAACTTGAGGTGCTAGGAGAAAACCTCTTGTCCTCACTAGTAAACTGAAAAGAGCGGCAGATGACATTTCAAGAGACGTCATGTCCCGGAGTAGAAGGGGTGGCGCAGAGGTGTGTTCAGAGGGTGGAGAGTCAGTCCTGGTGACAGCACCTGTGTGCACTCACCGCCTGCTGCTTCTCCCACAGGGACCCTCACCCAGAACGAAATGGCATTTAAGCGGCTGCATCTGGGCACTGTGTCCTACGGCTCAGACACGATGGACGAGATCCAGAGCCACGTCCGGAGCTCCTGCGCACAGGTGAGCCGCCGGCCCGGGCTCCTCGGGGGCGGCCGCTGCAGCGGGCGCTGTCCAGGCCGCGGAGCGTCGCACGAGGTTCCTCGTCAGATCTGGTGTCTAGATCGAACAGCAGACTTGGGACCACTTCACACAGCATGTCGCACGGTAGCAACAGGCAGGGACGCGGGTCACCCTTCCTTCCGGACTGCTTGTGAAATCGCTCCGTTCAGTCAGGGCTTGAAGAGACTGAGGACAATGCGTCCTCGCGTGTGTATGACAGTCCCTCTGTGTTTGTTCGTGACTAGTGAGACTCTCGTACATTCTTCTGTTTTTCCCCTTCTCTGTGAACAGCAGGAGAAAGGGCAGTGTCGGGCCCGGTGTACCCGTTGTTCATGTCGGCAGGCACAGTGCCCACGCCCGTACCTTCTCCACCCGTGGCTCCCACGTGAGATCACATCCCCAGTGTTTCACCTGCGGTGGTTCGTCTGCATCCCTGCTAGATGAGGACTCTTCTTACGATGTGACCCACATCTCGATGCTCACGGGGGCTGTTTGCTTTCGCAGGGGTGCAGCCTAGCGGTCATAGCGCCTCCGGCGGTGTAGACAGCAGGCTCCCGCCAGCGCACCTGGCCTGGAGCCCTGATGTTCCGGACTCCTGCGTTCTTTCCACTGCTCATTTTTAGGCTCCAGGGTTTTTGTAGCTCTGTCCCCAAGTAGTGTGTCTCCTTCATTGGACTTCCTTTCACCTGCCCTAGAACGTGAAGTCGCTGACTCTGAGTCACCTCCCCTAGCAGGCAAGGGGACTAAAGCTGCCCACGCGCCAGGCTGCATCTGGGTTGGAGTCATCCCTTCCTGGGCTTTTTTTCCTCGGCCTCTGTCAGCTTGTTGTAGAACCCACGTGACCACGAGCCAAGGGGTGTCAGGTTCAGAAGTACACGCCCCCAGGGGCAGCCGTGGCTCAGCCACGGAGACCCTGCTCCATGGGCGCCCCCGGCAGGTGGTGTGTGGCTTTCTGTGTCTCCACTCGCGTGGCCAGCCCTGTGGGCAGTTACGTGCAGACCTCTCTGCAGTCCTCTCCCGCCAGCATGCACTTTCCCTGTGAGATGCTGCCAACTGAAACCAGTCTCACGTGTGCACATACGTGTCACACGTACATATTTATCACGTGTACACACCTAGCACGTGTGCATGTTTTTCACATGTATATCGCACATAGACATGTTTATTGTGTGTTTGTCAGACAAATACATATTTATCATGGGTGCGCGTGTTTATCACGAGTGTATTGCATGTGTTCATCGTGCTTATACATGTTTATCACATGTACGTGTTTATCGTGTGTGCATGTTTATCGTGTGGTTATTATATGTGATGTTCATGCATGCACACACCCATGCACAAACAAGAAAAGCACTTTATTAATTCAGGTGTCACTCATTTTAGTAGGAGTACTTTGTAACCCAGAATATTTATTAATAGAAGGAAAATCTAAAAAGTCTTTTCCCTTCTCCTAGTAACCTGTGTTGGGATTGAAATGGTACCAGGTGACATCTTCTTTTTCCCCAAAATTAATTTATATTGTCCTTGAATATGACTGTCCTAGCCCCAAAGAAGTGATTTTACTCGAACAAAGTAAGAGCAGAAAAGAGGAGCCATCACATGAAAACACAGATATTGGCTCTTTCCCACCTAAGAGGACTCTGCTCTCACTGAGAGCCGCCGCTGGCCACCTGGTCAGACGGCCTTCACGTGGGCTGCCTCTCCTCATGTCCTCACTGCTGCCCACGGCGGTGCACACGCGCCTTCTCTGACCTGCGCGCTCCCTGCTGGACGCACCTGCTGGCCGAGGGCACGCTTCCTCCTTAATGGAATTTGTGTGAGATTAAATTATACAGCCCGCAGGAAGCCCAGCCTGATGCAGAAGGCGGTCGTCAGCCAGCTTCTGCTGTAACGGCAGCTCGAGCAGAACGCAGATGTGGGGTCTGACGCCCGCTGACAGGGGTGCCAGCTGAGCAGAGAAGTTAAACCCCTCATTAGCCAGCACTGTAATTTGATGGGCAGAGTAGTCACGGTTCAGTGGCTCTGCACGCCCCGTCCAAAAGCGACAGCCTGGGTGCTCGGGAGGCCTGTCACCAGTGACTCCGAAGTTACTGAAGAACGTTTGACAGTCCTGAGGGTCAGGGGCGTGCCCCTCCCCCGAGCAGGAGTGAATAATAGAAGTCATCCGCTTGGCGGGTGAGCTGAGCCCCCTGAACGCAGCTGGACGAGACGACAGCCAGGCAAGCGTCCATGTAGACGGGCCGTTGCTTCAGGAGAGCAGGGTTTTGAAATGTGACGTGGGGGTCGTTCCCCTCAGAACGCCACAGTCACCAGTCATCATGGTCCACAAGACTGGACACAGACTTCAGAGACTGTCGCAGGCTGGTCTGCGGTGGTCAGCGAAGGTTCACACCACTTGAAGCAGAGCATTTGTAAAGGGAAGTGGAGAGGTTGTATCAGGTACCACTCTGGTTTGTTCTAGGCTTACTCTGCTTCTAGAAGCGGTGAGTAAACAGAAATTAGGAAGGACCCAGCCAGCTACTGCCACAGTCAGAGTGAATCTAGTGGAAGCCAGTTGTCAGACGTTAAGCATCACAGTGAATATCGGGGTGCTTGACAGCGGGGAGTACCGAAGCACTTTGCGGCAGTCGGATGGAGCCTCGTCCTCCCAGAGGTGTGATGTGGGGGTCATCAGAGCCAAGGCGGGGATCAGTGCAGGCTCTTACCTGTCCCAGCGCGTGAGTTTGTAAGAACCACGAGAACCTTCCAGTATCAGCTGCGCACCGTCTTCAGTTCTGTGCCCTCATGTCCCACAGGTGCACGCTCAAGCCAGTGGAGACACCGGCAGTTCAGCCCCACCGAGGAAAGCCCAGTCTTCAGGTCCCAAAGCAAGGAAGAGTGTGAGCAGCCGCGTCCATGAGGCAGTGAAGGCCCTCGCACTGTGTCACAACGTGACGCCTGTGTACGAGTCTCGAGCGGGCACCACCGGGGAGACCGAGTACGCGGAAGTGGACCAAGACTTCAGCGACGAGAACCGCACCTACCAGGCCTCCAGCCCCGATGAGGTCAGTCTGCCTCTGAAAGCGTCGCCCACCGTGATGCTGCTGCAAGTGCAGAGCCGGGTCGGTCGGTGCGTTTCACTGGGACCCGCAGGCATGAGCGTGAGCTCGTTGGAGGGTGAGCAGGGGGTGGTGAGTGCAGCCGCGCGCACGTGTGTGGGCCTGTGTCCACACCCCTCTGGACACCTAAGAGCCAGTCACAGGGAAACAGGAGCAAGTCAGAGTTTTCCGACTTCATCAGCTGATTGGAACTCGGGTCAGGTCTCAGCAGAGCCGTGGGAACGGGCTGCGCACAGGCTGTGCTGTTCTGTCTTCTCCACGCTCAGCGTCGGGCGTGCGCAGCACATTTCCAGTGACTTTTGCAAGAATTTTATTTTATTTTATTTATTGTTTCATCCTCACCCGAGAACTTTAAAATTAATTTTTAAAAGCTACAGAAAACAGAAACAGTAAAATCCGGAGTATGGTAATTAATCATTCTAACTTTATGTCATTCTTTGATTTTTAGTTTGGTAAAAGTCTATTACTAAACTAATTTCCCAGTTTCTATATAGTCTTAGCATATTTTACATATAGTTTTTTTATATACTCTTTTAACTCCAGGTTCAGAATTCTGTAATCAAACCAGCCATGGAAAATACTTAAAAATACTTTATTACATACTTACCTTATTACCTGTCAAAAGTAAATACAGATTCCGTTGAAGATATATAGGATTTTTATCTTTAGGTTTCTATATGTCATAACACTCTTCGAGTCTTAAATTAGGAATTCACAATAGAGAGGGATTTTCTTGATTCACATGTTACTAGAACTAAACAGAGACTGCTAATCTTATACTTAAATATGTACTTGTTTCAAATTTCTTCCTGCTTTGGAACTTGGACAATGATTACAAAGTAGCCGAACAGCCCTGGCGGGTGTGGCTCAGTTGGTTGGCATTGTCCCGTGTCTGAAAGGTTGCTGGTTCGATTCCAGTCAGGGCACATGTCCCGGTTTCAGACTCGGTCCTCAGCAGGAGGCGGCCAATAGATGTTGCACTCCTACATAGATGTTTCTCTCCCCCACCCCCTTTCTCTCTCTCTAAAAAAATCAATTAAAAAAAATTTTTTTTAAGTAGCAGAATATTAACCTTTAGGGAATCTTCAGAATTTTAGTCTGAAAATGAGAAGGAACAATTTTTATGGAATAAAGTGCTGAGGGTCATGCACCCAAGATCCCCACTCAGGGAAGGGGCCCTGTTGATGTTTCCTGTCCGACCTCAGCACTGACCTGTCATGATGTTCCTGCTTAACAAGCAGCGCTGCGGGCAGGAGACTCCATGGTGCACTCTGTTCCGGTCAGCACGGTACCTCGGCCCCGTGCGTGGATGGCTGTGTCTGTGTCCACCCTAGAGACTGCACACCTCACTGAGCAGGCTGCCCCGAGGCCCCGAGACCGCGCACCTCTCCCAGCAGCAGAGCCCACTCTCGCCCGCCCGAAGTGGGGGGCTCTTCCCCTCCTGCCCAGTGCACACGGGTTCCCTCGTGAGCCCCTGCGGCGCTGGGAGGCGTCGTCTGGGCTGCTGTGTCGGGTCACAGTGTGCAGCCTGCATGTGCCTGGTCGTCGTTTCTTACGAGGAGCGATCAGCAGCTCATTTTCTCTGGGAGGAGGAAGTGCCTTCCTGTCATTTGTGTCCACAGCCTCCGCACAGCAAACTGCAGCTTAGCAGACACGGATGTCCCCTGGGGATTCCCGGACCGAGCTGAAGCCAGCCCTGCTCAGGGCTGTCCACTGGGCGCTAAGCGCTGACTCCGAGCTCGTGTCTGGAGCAGGCCTAGCGCACGCGGCTCAGCAGGGAGCCTTGGAGTGGGAGGTGCCAGCCCAAGGGGCAGGGCAAGGGGCAGGGCAAGGGGCAGCCGGGAAGACCTCTGCCTCTTCCAGCCCAGAAAGACTGACCGGCCGTGTGTCTCAGTGGGTGCTGACTGGCAGTCTTCCCGGCAATCGGGTTGCAGTCTGTGTTCATAGCGCTACTATCATAGCAGCGATGGCAGTGGCACAGACTGTGCTGATGGAGTGGGGTGCACTTCGCCCTGGCGGGTCGCTGCCACTGTGCCTGGGCCATCGCCGAGAAGACAGGAGGTGCTCCCGAGCTCCTGAGAGACGGCACGGAGATTCTGAGGGCGGAGCGTGGGGAGAACTCTGTCCCTCTCTGTTTCCTCTCGCTGTGTGGCTCCTGGAACGCCTCCCGTGCTGGTCACTGAGCGTGAAGAGCCAGTTCCTGGGACAGGCCGCGCGTGTGTCACTCAGGCCTGTGGTGAGACCTGGCTTGGCTCCCGCGTCCACACGTCAGTTGCGCTCACTCCGTGTCACTGTCAGCAGTCCCATCAGACTTCTCAGCTCCTGCGAGACAGTCATTTCAGATGAACCTTTACGTTCACATCGTCTTTACATTTCAGGGACGAAGCCTCAGGATCCGTCCGTCACAGTGTCAGGCAGCACCTTCCCCGTGAACATGGCAGCACACGGGTTCAAGGAAGCACCCTCCTCGATGTGTGTTCTGCAAACACATCGAGCCACAGCACCGGGAACTCTGAAACAACCCACACTGAGTGCTGGGGACACTCGGGAGTCCCAGGCCCTCGCTGACCGTGGCCCAAGGGGCCGGAAAGGCCGCACGGTCGGGAAAAGCAAGCGGCAGTGTGTTAACTGCCCCTGAGATAAGCTCTGAGCCGAAGCCCACGCCTGTGAGAAGCCGCCACGCAGAGGACCCGGCCTGACCCGCCGCAGAGAACGACGGCCCCAGGGAGCCACGGTCAGGAGGAGCCAGCGCTGGGAAGAGGTCCCTGCACAGCTGCCGCTCGGGCACCAGCACAGGGCGCCAGGAGGCAGACGCTCCACCGCAGCGGACACAGCAGGCGCTGCCCTGCAGGGCGCCAGGGGCTGTGCACAGGGAGCAGCGAGAGGCACGAACTTGGCATCCAGGTAAAACATCAGAAGACAAAACTGAAAGAAAGGGTAAAGGAAAGCATGAAGGCAATTAGTGATAGAGCCGTGAGTTGCGAGCAGATCGTTTGAAAGTTAATAAAATGGAAAAACTGCTGACAAAAATAGTAAATACAGAACAGTGACAGCACACAGGGAGCACAGTGATGCACACGGAGTGTGCAGGAGACAGCTGTGCGCAGGTTGTGTGAGAGAATGCCCAACACAGCCCAGTGCTGACGCCTCTGACAACCTTCTCAAATAACATGTTCAGGAAAAATGTAACTTACAACATGGAGTCTAAAGAAACACCTAAAGCCCAAGTGGACCAGAAAATAAATTCAAAAAGGCATCAAAACAGGTTTGGGCCACACAGTTCTATGGGTCAGTTATTTTGAGCCACATATAAATCCCATACTATAAAAACTTTCTGGAGCAAGGAAAAAAAGTTCAAAGCCTTTTAAATCATTTTTTGAAGCCAGCTTAATCCTAAATTCAAAATCTGACCAAGATAACACAAAATAATAAAGAAATCTGCAGATGAATCTTATGACTAGAGATACAGAAATCCCAAAATATAATGCCAACAAATAAAACTTACAGTATAATAAAAGATCGTGACCAAGTGGCAGTTATCCTAAGAACACAAGAATAATTTAGTACTAGAAAATATATTAATATAGCTACATTACAGAAGTTGGCAGTGACATGATAATCTTATTTCCATTAGAGACTTTTTAAAAAGTTCCTAAGGTTGAAATTCCGTCCTCACTCCTGACCAAAGGAAACGGCCAGTCCAGCGGTGGTCAGCACGTCGCGAAGCCTTCACATGACCGACTCTGCTGCCCAGCGTCCTCTGTCCCGTCCGGGAGTCCTGCGTCAGACGCATCAGGGAAAGATCAGCCTCCTCACCGAAGGGGGAAAGTGACCACTCGCACATCAAGGGACCGCACCTGGAGAAGAGCAGACGCCTCTGCGGGACCATTGATTAGTTCAGCAGCTGTCGGCCGCCGCCCCAGGAGCATGAGCCGGAGCTGCTCTGGGCGCACACGGCGCGCACGGTGCACACGGTGCGCCCACACCCGGCACACGGCGGCGGCAGCGTCTCCAGCTGTTCTGGGAGCGCGGCCGGGCGGCGCCTGCGTCTGAGCCTCGGTCCTGCCCCAGCTCCGGGGAGGGGCGCCCCGGGGGAGGCCGCTGCGCGGCCCTGACACAGCCAGACCGGCTGCGTGCGCCCGGCCGATGGAGAGCTGACGTCGGAGCTCACTCGCCGGCCCTCTGATATGTAACCTTCCGCTGTCCTGGCTGATAAATCAGCGCACTGCGACTTTATTGATTTACCTAATAAAGTGGGGCCGAGAAGTGTTCACACTGCTCAGAGAGCAGTGGCGGGTCGTGGGCCAGACGTGGAGCCCACGGGAGGTGCAGGCAGTGGGGAGGACAGTCCAGCCGAGGGGCCTGCCATCCTCCTCTCTGCTGGCGGCGGAGGCGGGACTCGAGACCTCCCGGAGCCGGCAATGGACCCAGGTCTGAGGGGTCCGGTGCGCCAGGAAGCGACGATGCTCGGGACCTGGACCGGGACCTGCTGTGTGCCGTCCTGCGCAGTGGACAAGGGCATCTCAGTCTCCTGTTTCTGAGGCTCAGCGGAGGAACCTGTCTGGAGAAGGTCGGTTGAGTGCCCCTTCCTGTGCCTTCTTCATGGGAATTCATTTCTGACTGACTGAAGTCACCGAAAATACAAGACCATTCCCATAGGTTCACTCTCTCCTGCTTTCCGGAAGTCACTCTGTTCCATTGGCCTTAGGCTGACTCTCCTGTGTGAGCTTTCAAATACCAGGAGTGTGTGAAGGGTGAGTTCTGGTGCATTGAGTACATGTGACGTACAATGAAACTGCAATTTAAACTCTGTAAATTGGTGTGTGTCTTCACCATCCAGATACAGTAATCCTGCTTCTCTGCTGACTTTCTTTATGAGATCCTAGAAATGTTTGGGAGATAAAGTTACCATGTTCGGCACGTGACCTTTGCTCCTTTGTCTCCTACAAATCCTCGGGTGTTCCATGTGGACACAGTAGCCGTAGAGGTAGTCAGAGAAGACTCACAAACAGAGGGATTCAGGCCTCGGCTCCTGGAATCAGAGAACCTTGGAAAGCTGAGTAGCAAGCGCTTGCCCGGCGCTGAGCCTCTAGCCCAGTGGGTGTGCCCGCTGACCCTGGCTCTAGGCAGCCAGTACACCAGGGTACGATCCACCGTGGCCTTTGTCTTAGAAAGCGAGACCAAGGGCTCCATCATGCTGCTCATTGCTGGCGGCCGAGAGGTTATCAGAGTGACTCTGACAGCCACAAAGACACACGTTCTGGCGCAGTAAGCTGTGTACATTGGTCGCCTCTCGGCAAGCTTTCTGACCGCCAGCCTGTTGCTTCCCTTCCTGGGAAGTCAGTGGCCTCACCTGTTGCTGGTCTCTCCCAGGTGGCCCTGGTGCAGTGGACAGAGAGCGTCGGTCTCACCCTGGTCAGCAGAGACCTCACGTCCATGCAGCTGAGGACGCCTGGTGGCCAGATCCTGGCCTTCTGCGTCCTACAGATGTTCCCCTTCACGTCGGAGGGCAAGCGCATGGGCATCATTGTCAGGGTAGGTGCTCATCCCGCAGTGACCGGCACTGAGGGTCATGATTTGACTCCGGCAGAACTAGTGAGAGGTGCCCTATCCTCACTGTGACCTGTGTGCAGCAGCAGCAGCAAGCCAGAGACTTTAACGTAAGACTTGTTTATGACCATGAAATTGCTAAAATAACCTCCATTAAATGTTTAACAAATGCCAAACTATACATTGCAAGTTGGCTAAACAAGGAAGCTTATTCAATCAAACTATGAAAAGTTGAGAGGACTGTTCACCTTGCAGCCCAGGGCATATGTCCAGTAACTGGCTTCACTCCGAGAATAGCAGCATCTCCAGGGCTGCAGCTGCGCTCTTGTTCTTCAGAACCGGGCACGGGGCTGAGCAGGAAGGTGCTGGGCGGGCGGCACCGGGCACGGGGCTGAGCAGGAAGGTGCCAGGCGGGCGGCACCGGGCACCGGGCTGAGCAGGAAGGTGCCGGGCGGGCGGCACCGGGCACGGGGCTGAGCAGGAAGGTGCCGGGCGGGCGGCACCGGGCACGCGGCTGAGCAGGAAGGTGCCGGGCGGGCGGCACCGGGCTCGGGGCTGAGCAGGAAGGTGCCGGGCGGGCGGCACCGGGCACGGGGCTGAGCAGGAAGGTGCCGGGCGGGCGGCACCGGGCACGGGGCTGAGCAGGAAGGTGCCGGGCGGGCGGCACCGGGCTCGGGGCTGAGCAGGAAGGTGCCGGGCGGGCGGCACCGGGCTCGGGGCTGAGCAGGAAGGTGCCGGGCGGGCGGCACCGGGCACGGGGCTGAGCAGGAAGGTGCTGGGCCACACCAGGCACCTGAGTGGAGATGCTGCCCTGAGCCATGAGAGCCGCCGTCATCTGAGGAGCTGCGAGGCCCTGGACCTACAGTTCATTGTCCTTCCTGCAGGACGAGGCCACAGGAGAGATCACCTTCTACATGAAAGGTGCCGACGCTGTCATGTCCACCATCGTCCAGTACAACGACTGGCTGGAGGAGGAGGTAACGGCAGACCGTGCAAACGTGTTTACAGTTAGTGAGCGGACAGAAAACCAGTGCCCTCTCCCAGCTGCAGACACTGTGTCCAGGTTTCAGGCCCACACAGTAGTTTGCAAGATGGTGTCTCACACGACGCAGTTCTCAGTCTTCCCGGTCCACCAGGCTGCCCAGGGCTCTGCACGGCCGCGCTGGCTCCGTGGACGCACCTGCCGCACGCAGCTGGGCAGGCCAGGCGGGTGTGCTGGGGACAGAGGCACGTTGCTGGTCACTCACTCTGAAGTGACAGTGTATGTGTAGCCAAAGTTACATTTTAACATACTTATTTTGTAACCTATATTATTTACAAGGAGATTTTAATTAGAATTTTAATCTGATTCTAATTTGTACATAGGATTCACTTTAAAAATAGAAAGTAAGATACAAGCATAAGTAATGCTGTATTTCATCAAATTCTCTCTAAACAAATGTGATTTGTATTTAGCCTCATGAGGTGATATTGTTTGTTGTTTACATTTATGTATTCATAAGAAGCCGGATTTGAAAGTAAAACTAAAGCCGTTATAAACACGAGTCTTTAGCTTGGCCATTGCTATTGTTCTAATGCCCACCCCCCTGCACAGAGACGGCCTGTCAGCCGGGGCCACACCCTCCACCATGGTATTGGCAATATGAATCAATAGCTCCTCCGGCACTGGGATTTAATCAGGGACATGAATAAATTAAACTCCCTGAAGACCTAGTAAAATGCCATAAAAATTACTTTTGGTCATAATGATGTGCAATTAATTATAAAATTCTTGTTTAATTTATTTAGCTTTATGAGGTCAAATCAATAAATGTCTGGCACCAGACAGAGAATGTCAGATTGTCTTTCACAAAGATAACTTCATCAATGATCCTTTGTACACGTATTTCCTCAATGTTGCACTTTCTCCTGTAGATGAATCTTTGGCATCCACACACGTCTTTGTGGCGCTGCTGCCGTGGCCCGAAGGCCTTCGCCCGGGAGGCCAGCGGGCTCTCAGAGCCCGAGCCCCAGGGGCTGTCCAGGCTCCGGGTCTCAGGCGAGCCCCCGTTGGGCTCCTGGCTGCGCATGTTCTTCTCCGAATGTCAGCACCACCAGCACTTTCACTCACCATGTAACAGGGAGGCCGACCCGACCAGCCCTCCCTGGTGTCACGGCGGCCCGGCGTGTCTGCCCCGGCACCGCAGCGCACCGACGGGCCGCCTCCCTCGAAGGCAGGCTTGCCCTTCGCCCCGATCTGTTAGAGGTGGAACAGGAGAGTGTGCGGGCACAGTGCTGAGCACACCACTGTCCCCTGGGGCCCCGTCCTCGAGCTGGGACCCTCCATCAGCTCTCCCTGCCGTCCACGGCCCTGTGCGTGGCTGTGAGTGTCAGGCCAGGTGCCCGGTGGGTGGACGAGGTGCCCGGCACGCCGGCGTGGCTCACACTGTGCGTGTTTCAGCATCTGGTCACCAAGTGGAGTGAGTGAGCTGTGCTGGAGAGGGACCCATAGCGGGAGGTGACGCTCTCTGGGAGCACTAGCTTTGCCCTGGAGGGACAGTGGGAGAGGACTGGCATGTGGCCAGCGGAGAGTGAGCTTGGGAGGTTGTGTGTGCACGGTTTGTCCGCGAGCCTGGTGCTTGTCCCTTGGCGATGCAGGATTTTCACTCCTGTCTCTAATTGTGATGCACAGAAGGTCAGACACTCAAGGTCCCAGTCCCCTCAGTGGCCGGGACGCAGAGCCAGCATCCCCGTGGGAAGCTGTGATGAGGGTGCCGTCCTCTCCCCTTCCCACTGTGCGGACACTGTCAGTCGTAACGCTGCATACCTGTCACCCGTGTTTGAGTTTCTTTTCGTTGAAAAAGTAGCGCATTCATTTGCTGGCAGCGTATTTGCTGAGACACCATCACATTGCCAGCTTCGCATTTTCGGTGCACACTGGGAACTGTCTGAACTGGCTGCTCTCGGGCTGTGGTGTGGAGTCCCGCGCCCTTGGCACCTGATGGAAGTGTTTGAAAAGACCCTGCTCCTCTCCCTGGGCATGGCGGCTGAGCACTGAGCACGTTCGCATCCTGGCACCGCCTTTGCTAGACCGCCCAGTGTAGACCCCGCCCAGTGTAGACCCCGCCCAGAAGTCCAGCACACGGCTGTGGACACAGGCAGGTGCACCGGCAGGCTAGGAACAACCACCCTGGTCTCCGTCAACCACAGTGCCCAGAGCAGGCTAACCGGCGGGAGTTTAGAGCTTTGAAAACATTGTCAGAGTCTGACAGTTGAAAGGCATCAGGGAGAAGGGCTGGCCTTGGGCAGCAGGTGGCCCTGGGTGGCCCGCGAGCCCGCTGCTGCCGTCGACGTGCCAGCAGCCGACCTGCAGACAGGTGGTCCAGATGGACAGCTCGGCGCTCGTCACACCTCGGCTTCTGTGCAGTGCCCCTCACTTCGCACCACACTGCCCGGGGCTCTTCCCCTCCCGGGCCTCACCTCACCCCTGCATCAAGCGTCAGCCCTCCTAGGTTACACCCCGCGGCACAGGGCCAGCGGGAGAGTGCTGTGGTTTCAGTGTTCACAGCCTCGAGGCTGAGAAGTCTGGTTTGAGGTGGGGAGGAACTGTGCCTGTCACCTGGGGAGCTGCATGGTGATACCCCCCCCCCCCCGTGAGCCCTCGCTGCTCGTCCTCGGGGCAGGGGGAGCAGGGACAGCGTGTGGGTCGGGTGGCAGCTCCAGCATGGCGAGCCGTCTCTGAGGCACATCTGCTGAGCACTGTGCCCACGGGTCTGGGCAGCACGCGGACTAGCGGTGGGAGCCTGCCACTCCGGCTCCCTCCCCCACAGGCCGTGGGAGCAGAGACCGAAGCCGAGGGCGTGGTCACAGCACGGCCCGGGCCCCTGTGACCTGCCTCTCCTTTTCCAGTGTGGAAACATGGCCCGCGAAGGTCTGCGCACCCTCGTGGTCGCGAAAAGGGCGCTCACGGAGGAGCAGTACCAGGACTTCGAGGTGAGCAGACTTGCCCCTCCCCACCCTCATGGGCTCTGCTCTCCTGTGAAAGGAGCTCTCACATCCTGAGGTCGCGAGGCCAAGGCCCAGGAGCATCAAGAATAGCCCTCCGCCCGCCCGCCCTCCGTGGCCCAGCCCTTCTGCCCTCTGCTGGGAGGAGAAGGGAGGGTTTCTTTAATGTGCACATTTCCCAGTGTCAGTGAGCCTTGAAGGTGGAGCACACAGCCCGTCTCAGTCCCCAGAGCCGACACACTCAGGCCCCGTTGCGTGCACATGCGGGCCACACGTGTGCGAGCTGTCTGCCTGTCCTCAGAGCCGCTACATGCAGGCGAAGCTGAGTGTGCACGACCGGGCGCTGAAGGTGGCTGCGGTGGTGGAGAGCCTGGAGCGGGAGATGCAGCTGCTGTGCCTCACGGGGGTGGAGGACCGGCTGCAGGCGGACGTGCGGCCCACCCTGGAGATGCTGCGCAACGCGGGGATCAAGGTACCCAGCGGGGCCCGGCCGCCTGTCTGTCCTGACGTTTGTCCACCTGTTTCCCTGTGACTGGCCGCTGTGCTGCGTCTTCCTTACTGACGTGCTCTCTGCGCACGCGGCCTTAGCTGCCCTGGGGTGAGGTCGTTCCCAGGAAGGCCCTGCTCTCCTGCGCGCTCCCAGAGGAGCAGAGAGCAGCTCAGTCCCCAGCAGCCCTGCCTCGGGGTTGGGGCCTCTGTCAGCAAGGAGAAGAGCGCAGCTGCGTTTAGAAGGGAGGCTGGTGGGGAGCGAGGAGCCCGGAGCGCGACGCAGAGGGGTGGGAGGCCGTGCTGCTCAGCTCCTGTGGGACTCCCCGCGGTGAGCAGGTGGGGGTGCCAGGAGAGCGGAGCCAGCGCAGTGTTGGCGAGCACGCCAGGGAGGGGCGCACGCCCGCAGCAGGCACCTGAGAGCCATTCAGACTGAGCCACATACCGACCACCCTGACCACGGGACAGGAGGTGCGATCGTCACCAGGGGTCGCCTGCTCGCAAGGGCGTCTTTCTGCCCCTGACCTGCAGGCTCAGGGTCCAGCGCTCCTTGTGGACAGACGGGCATTCATATCAGCGCCTTACTAATCTCAGTAAGACTTTTGGGTTCTTTTCTCTCACATTCCCGGTTGAAGGGAGCACCCCTCGTTCCCTTCACTGACGTAGGGCCTGATTTCAGATGCCCCCGAAACCCAAGGTGCTGCCTCAGCCGCCCAGCGCGCCTGGCTGCACACAGCCCCACGGTGCCTCCTGTCCGCTGGCTTCTCACCCCACGTTGGCCTCACAGCGTGTCGGGGCCTCGGTCCAGGTCCAGTAGAGCGAACACCAGTGTGCGAAATAAGAGGCACAACCCTCAGACACTGAGGAGAGCCACAGCGCGTGCACCCAGAGACCACACAGGGCTTCCTGCTTCCCGCTTCCAGGGTGCATGTCGATGGGTAACGTGTGAAACACCTGAAGGGTTCAGGCAGAGAAGTCACTGGAAGTTTTTTGCTGTCAGAAAAATAGAGAGAGCCCTGGCCAGTTTGGCTCAGCGGTTAGAGCGTCAGAGAGACCCGGGTTCGGTTCCCGCTAAGGGCATGTACCTCGGTTGCAGTTTGTCCCCGGCCCTGGTTGGTCGTGCGGGTGGCAGCCACTCGATGTGTCCCTTCACGTCGATGTTTCTCTCTCTCTCTCTCTCTCTCTCTTCCTCTCCTTCTCTGCCACTCTATCTGAACAAAAAAAAAATGGAAAAATGTCCTTGGGTGAGGATAAAAAAAGAAAAAGAAAAATAGAGAGAGACCATTTGGTCATATGTTCAGCGTCCTGGTTTTGCTCTTTTTACTCCAGGGATATTTATGTGCATAATATGTGCCTATGTGACGTAAAGTCAGTGTACGATTTAATACAACGTTCGGCAAACTGCCCGTTTGAGCCCCGTTTCCAGCTGAAAACCGGCCAGTTGGACCGGGGTCTTCAGATCCTCCCAGCTTAGCTCGTGGCCAGTGACGATCCGGCCTGTGTGCTGCGCGGGCTGTGCGTGCTGCCCACCGCCTCCAGGTGGCAGCTCTGAGCCCACACACCGCTTGGCCGCGGTTGTGAGTCAAGCAGAGACTTAACATGGGCTTTACCTCTACTGGCCACTGTATTTTGTTGTTGTTGTTAATCCTCACCTGTGGATATTTTTCCATTGATTTTTTTTTTAGGTAAAGTGGAAAGGGAAGAGAGAGAGAAACATTGATTGAGAGAGACACATCCATTAATTGTCTCCCACATGACCCCAACTGGGGCTGGGGATCGAACCTGCAATTGAGGTACATGCCCTTGACCAGGAAGCGAACCTGGGACCCTTTGGTTAGCAGGCTGGTGCTCTAACCACTGGGGAAACCAGCCAGGGAACCATCTCCCATTTTCAAGTTCACTGGCACTGGGCACATCTACAGTGTTGCACAGCTGTGACAGGAACACTCCTGGACTTCTTGTCTGTGACTCTGACACTGTCCCTGCCCCCAGCCCCTGACACCCCCCGTCTGCTTCCTGTCCCTGTGAGTCTGGTGACCCCAGGGAATTCGTACACGTGGAATCAGGCTGCCGTTGCTCTTTCATAACTGGCTCGTTGCACTCAGCACGGTGTCCCGGGGTCCATCCATATCACCTGTGGACGGGCCACGTTCTGCTCACCCTCGATGGGCACATCCAGCTCGTGTGGATTGTGACGCTGTAAACATGGGTGCAAAGGTCCTGCCAGGAGAGACACTTGAAGAGACGAGGTGTAGCAGCAACCAGCTCACTGGAGCACTGTTCCTAGATATGGATGCTCACCGGCGATAAGCTCGAGACGGCCACGTGCATCGCCAAGAGCTCACACCTGGTGTCGCGCACACAGGACACGCACATCTTCAGGCCTGTAAGTCTGCCCACGGGTTTGGATTGCAGATGTATCACCTCGCAACTCAGACCTACTGGTTCTGTGGGAATGTGTATGCCATTACCTATCAGTCACTGAATGTCACTTTTAAAAGAGATATACTGCAATTTTCTTATCAATTTATAAAAATGTCATAAATAGATTTCTATTAGTTACAGTAACTGATCAAAAGCTGCTTTGTGTTAGAAACAAGTTCTGTCTAAATTTAAAAGTACTTTTCTGTTGTTCTATTAGAATTATTTATACAATGAAACATCCGTGTTAAAGCAGCCACAGTTCTCTTCTGTTCAGCCTGCGGAAGGGCAGGTTGAGACAAAGTACATCTTCCTTAGTACACTCAGCACAGCCGTGCCGGCGGCCTGTGTCTGGTCACCACCGTTTCCAGAGCAAATGCCCGTCCTCAATTAGCTCAAAGAGAATTAATACAAATGATCTAAATTTATGTGTTTACTGTATGTATTAGCTGTTTTTAATCTAATTCCAACAAAAATAAAAGTTTCTTGGGTCCTGATTGATGGTCGTGAGCAGACACACAGTGTCTGTTTGGAATGCAGCGCTTGCACCTACAGAAATAGTTATTTGAATATAATTTACATGTAAATGTAGTTTATTTCGAAACATCAGAATCACAAATTAGGCCCTGCAGACGACAATTTGCAATTACATTATTAATGATTCTGATAAAACTTCAGATCAATTTTTGTTGACTTTTCAGTGTTATAGCACAAATTAAGATTTCCACAATAAAACCTACCTATTTAAAGATGAGTCTGAGATTAATTTGGACCACATGAAACTTTTAATTTATTTCAGTCCTGTAATGTATCATTTCTTTTATGCCCCATAAAATCTCCACAGAAAGAATATCAAAAACCAGTGTGTTGGTTACTGAAATGTTTTCATTCTAAAATTAATGACATTCCAACATTACGATCTGATTTTACTCTTTTAAATCATTCCGCCCTTCGCGTGTTTGTTGGCTTGAGCTGGGGAATAGCGGGAGGCTGCGGCGCAGACGAGAGGCTTTAGGAAGGTGGGCCCTGGTGCCGCCTTATGGAAAGGGGGGTCTTTTAATAGACCTTGACCTCAGGTCACCTGAGTGGGCCCCGGACGCTGGTCCCGGCTCCGCTGACGTCACCCCGCGGCTGCGCCGAGACGTGGTCAGTGGCCCGGAGCCCGTGGACTCTCGCGGTAGAGCCCGTGGCCGGCCCGAAGCAGGGCAGCCGTGGGCCCCTGGGTGCCTGCTCCCCTCCCGCAGGCGCCGGCTCCTCTGCTCGCTCGTTTCGCCGTGACCATGGCGCGTCCGCGGCGCTGGTTCCCGGCTGGAGACTCGGCTCCGCGCGCAGAGCGCCTCGCGGTGGCCGACGCGCGTGGCCGGGGGTGCGGCTGTGGTCCGCGAACAGGCGCCTGTCGGTGCCTCTGATTCCGACAGCACCGGGGCCCTTTCTGCAGGTGGCCAGCCGCGGGGAGGCCCATTTGGAGCTGAACGCCTTTCGTCGGAAGCATGACTGCGCGCTGGTCATCTCCGGGGACTCCCTGGAGGTGAGGCCGGTCCCAGCCCTGCTAGCGGGTTAAGGGCCGAGTCCAGTGTCCGCGCAGCGCGGAGTGGGGCCGGGGAGCGGGCAGAGGCGGGGCCGGGGCCGGGCCGCTGTCCGGGGCGGTGACCGCCTGTGTTGCAGGTGTGTCTGCGGTACTACGAGCACGAGCTGGTGGAGCTGGCCTGCCAGTGTCCGGCCGTGGTCTGCTGCCGCTGCTCGCCCACGCAGAAGGCCCACATCGTGAAGCTGCTGCAGCGGCACACGCGCAGGCGCACCTGCGCCATCGGTGAGCCACGCCCCTGCCCCCCCGCCCCCCGCCGTGTCGGCCACGCCCCTGCCCCCCGCAATGCCGGCCACGCCCCTGCCCCCCCGCAATGCCGGCCACGCCCCTGCCCCCCCCCCCCGCAATGCCCCCCACCCCCCGCAGAAGCCGGCGGGCTGACCTTGCCGGCAAAGTCCCCTTCGCTCCCCAGCTCCAGCCTGTCTCCTGCTGTGAACGGGGAGGGCGGGCGCGCGCGCAGGTCTCTCCCTTCATCACGGTCGCGTGTGCTCCCAGGTGACGGAGGGAACGACGTGAGCATGATCCAGGCCGCGGACTGTGGGATCGGGATCGAAGGGAAGGTATGTCTGCGCCGCCTGGGGCTTGTGCTCGGCAGCCGACGCTGGGGGCGCAGCCTGCGAGGCGTCCTGCGCCAGGCCCAGCCGCGCACGGGGAGGGGGGGCGGTCACTGGGGTCACTGGTCGCCTTGAGGAATGCAGGGCGAAAGCAGAGAGGTCCGTGCGGAAACCCTCCAGGCGCCTCACTGTGCTGAGTGACCTGCAGGCCCCTCCCTGCAGAGGCCACCGCACCCTCCAGCACCTCGGCTGACCATCGGACCTGCAGCTTGTCTCTCGTGCTTGACACAAGGTCATTTTTGATGTCCGGGTGTCCTGGCTGGCTGTGCACTGTGGTTTGGGGGTGTCTTGTGCACACACACAGCACCCCAGGAAGCCCTGGACATGAAGCAGGTTGAGGTCCAGCTTTTCTTGGCCTGCTCTGCTCCTGTGCTGGCTGCCGCGTGTCGGCAGAGCCGGGGGGAGGGGGGGCCTCCTCGTTGAGCGGCTGTGACTTTGTGAGATGGCAGGAGGTGGTGTTTACATACATGGTGACAAGGAGGCTCGAAAGCCGTCCTGAAGGTTCCTGAAGTCCTGGGGCTGGTCCCTCGGCAGCCCTGTGGTGTCCGCCTCTGCTGGATTTCTGTGGTGCCGACAGGCCTCACAGGAAGGGTCCCGGCGTCCTGGCGAGCCCCTGTCTGCGTCATCAGCTCCTGGTGGCAGGCGCCGCCTCCCCCTCCAAGTGCCCCTGCTGCCCTCACAGTCACGCAGGGGTCTCAGCCTTCTCTCTGGGCGCAGACTTGACGGTTCGAGGTGCCTGTCGTTGCAGGAGGGGAAGGCGGCCTCGCTGGCGGCGGACTTCTCCATCACGCAGTTCAAGCACATCGGCCGGCTGCTCGTGGTGCACGGGCGCAGCAGCTACAAGCGGTCCGCGGCCCTCGGCCAGTTCGTCATGCACAGGGGCCTCGTCATCTCCACCATGCAGGTGTGCGGCGGGCGGGGGCCACCAGCCGCCTGGGGGGGCAGGGGCTGTCGGGGCCCGTGACTGGCAGTTCTGTGCTCTCTCCCAGGCCGTGTTCTCCTCCGTCTGCTACTTCGCGTCTGTCCCGCTGTACCAGGGGTTCCTCATGGTCGGGTAAGTGGTGGGCAGGACGGGTCGGGTGCATGATGCCCATGCCTGCGCTCACCCCGGCCCCATCCTGGCTGTGAGGCTGGGGCAGCTGGTTAAAGGGCACATTTCTGTGCTGTGTCTGTCCGCTGCACCGGGGCCCCGCCGCCTGAGTGGGTGCGGCCTGTGGATCAGGTGGCCGTGCAGCGGCCAGCACGAGAGTGAGCCCCGCCTTGCGCTCCCCGTCCTGCGGGAAGGTGCTCCTGCTGACCCCTCTGCTCTGGGCTCAGGTACGCGACCATCTACACCATGTTTCCAGTGTTCTCGCTGGTGCTGGACCAGGATGTGAAACCGGACATGGCCATGCTGTACCCGGAGCTCTACAAGGACCTCACCAAGGTACGGGCCCGGGCTGGGCCGCCAGCCCCTCGCCGACCCAGGGGCGCCATGCAAGAACGTGCACGTGAGAACGGTGCGCTTGGGGGGCGCTCCCGGCAGGTCCTAGACCTGGGCTCTGTCTGTCAGATGTTTGTTTTCTTCAAGTTATGGTTGGGATTTTCATTCCGAGTTAAACTTCATCGGGGGGACATAATCAGCAGAAACCAGCACTTCTCAGACGTTGGTGACGGAGCCCGACGGCACAGAGTTCTCGCTCTGAGGAGGCTCCCACCCGCTAGCAGGTGGCGCTCCAGCAGTCAGAACCCGGAGCCTCCGGGCCGGACCCGCTGCACTTCTGTCCTCGAGACTCTGTGTCCTGGTCGCGGCGCTGCTGAGAAAGGCCCACCCCCTGAAACTGCAAAAGATCCATTTGTTTGCCTAAGTCTGTGCTGTTAAGGTTGAAATACTCCCGAAGAGGGTGTTGAGTTTATCGTATTTGTTGTGAAGGCATCTTCATAGCACAGAACACCTGCTCCGCGGGCAGGGGACCCGCTCAGCTCTCCCAGTACGCGTCTTGGCGACTCCGGAATCTTCCTGAAGCGACACTGAGAACACAGTCCACCAGCCCCCAGAAACATGTAGGCTGGCAGTCGGTCACCTGAGACCCTCAGCTCGGTGTCTGAGGCAACAGTGACCTGTGGGGCCGTGGAGCCGGCCCAGACCGAGTACGGGCCAGCGGCCTGCAGCAGGGGTGCTGACCCGGCTCCACGGAGCCGCTGAGGCCGGTGCACACGGCGCCGCGTCGCTCCCACCGCCAGGCAGACGGAGCCGGCTCGCCAGGGCGGTGCAGCATGAGGCGAGCTAGCAAGCATCGCCATCGGGGTGATGGCGTCGTGGTGAATATTACAAGTAGAAGGAAAAGGGTTTAGATGAATCTCCCAAAAGGATGAAATCGTCACCGTTCAGTGACGTGGAATGAGGTCCGAGAGTCAGACACCACGGGCAGGCGTCGCAGGTACTTCCATTCAGTCGGTCGTCATCCTGTCTCCAAGCTGCAAATACGCTGACTGCGCTGCTGCTCACAGGAATGGGGTGCGGACCGGGTGAGCCCGGGAGACGTGGACAGTCAGGGCTCAGCCAGGGCAGGGTCACCGCAGGTCGGCCCAGGCGAGCTGCCTGGTGGTCAGAGGGGGTTCTCAGCAGCTCCGTCTGCACCAGGAGGGCCCTGAAGGCCAGGCAGTGGGACGCGTTGGCCGCGCCATTTTTAGGGGTTTAGACTGCCCACCGCATCGCAGTGGACGCCGGAGCGGCTCAGGGACAAGGAGGCGTCACAGGCTCGCCCTCAGCTGCTGCGAGTCCCGTGCCGTCGGCCGATACGTGGGGGGGGGGGGGAAACAACGCGCGGCTCAGATGGAGTGAGGTCACGTCAGGGCACCAGCTCTGCGTCCTTGTCGTGGTGACGGCAGTGCCCTGAGGTCGGCGCACGTTCTTCATCGCAGCTCAGCCTCAGTCACTTTCTTCAGGCTCTTCTGTAGGATCCAAATCTGTATTTTCTGTCTTTACACGATGTTGTCTAAAGATCTGACATACTTCACGTCCTTTGGAAACAAAGTAGCACTAAAATCCTCGCCCCCTGCCCTGGCTGGTTTGGCTCAGCGGTTGGAGCATCAGCGCTGGACCAGAGAGTCTGCGGCTGTGGTTCATCCCCGGCCCTAGGTGGGCTTGTGCCGGAGGCAATCCGTTGATTTGTCCCTCACGTCGATGTTTCTCCCTCTCTCTCCCCCTCCCAGTCTGTCTGAAGTCATAAATGGAAAAGTATCCTCAGGTGAGGATTTTTTTAAAAAATTGAATTAATTTTCGCCCTGGCCGGTTTGGCTCAGCGGTTAGAGTGTCAGCCTGTGGTCCAGAGAGACCTGGGTTTGGTTCCCGCTAAGGGCATGTACCTCGGTTGCAGTTTGTCCCCGGCCCTGGTCGGTTGTGCGGGTGGCAGCCACTCGATGTGTCCCTTTCATGTCGATGTTTCTCTTTCTCTCTCTCTCTCTCTCTCTCTCTGTTCCTCTCTCTCCCTCCCACTCTACCTGAACAAAAAAAAAAAAATGGAAAAATGTCCTCTGGTGAGGATAAAAAAAAAATGAATTAATTTTCCTCTGGTGCTGGAGAGAGTCGAAGCTCCTGAGTGTTCAGCCAAGTTGTCTGCACACAGCAGTCCCAGCACTGTCGGGACTGACAGCAGTCGTCCGTGAGTCTGTCCGTGTGGCCCTGTAATGGCCCTGAGACGCGTCCCTGGTCCCAGCAGCCACACGGAGCCGGGAGAGGATGTGGCCCAGGGTCAGGCGGCGGCATGAGAGGAGTGGGAAGCAGGGCGGTGTGGGGACCGAGCGTGAGCTCTGAGCAGGAGTCGGGGTCGCAGGGAACAGACGCCTTAGAGTCGCCGAGCACCGGAGCGGGGGCCTGCACTCCGAAATGAGACGTCCGCTCTTCACCCCTTCTGAGAGCATCTGTGCTGGGCGCGAACAGCCCCGGCCCCGCCGCGGAGGTGCCCAGTGCCACACTGCTCTGCCCCCCAGGCTCCCCCGCCCCGCCCCAGATGCAGGTGCTCGTGCTGCTTGGGGGTGAGCCGGTCAGCGGGGGCACAACTCTCCCTCCTCCGCCTCCCGCAGCATCTTCCTGCTCCAGGGGCAGTGCCAGGGGCGTGGTGTCGGTGCCTCCTGGAGGCCTCACTGCTGCACGCCGTCGGCACAGCCACCGGGGGGCCTGGGTGCTGCGGAGGGGCCGCGGCCTCTGCTGAAAGGCCCCGAGGGGTGCCAGCCCCCTGCCCCCTGGGCAGCCAGCCCCCTCCAGGGGTGGCTCAGGCTGGAGCTGTGAATTCAGTCACCAGCCCCTGGTCTTATATTTGTGAGAAATTAGACGACCGACTGCAGAGACGTCTGGTGTGTTGTACCGATCGTCCAGACGCCCAGCGGGTGACGCCGCGCCGTCCTTGGCAAACGTCTCCGAGACCAGCGTTCGAGCTTCGCTGCCTTTATTTTCTGCTGAACGGGCTCAACATGCTTTGACTTCTGAAGTGTGTGTGTGAGTCCTTATGTGATGTTTGAATAATGGCGATGAGGCAGGGGAAGGACATGAAAACAGAGGTCGGAAGGAAGGAATGAAAACATCTGTCCGGCACCACAGTTGTCCGCAGAAAGCCGCCAACAGTCCCCACACGCGTCAGATGCGAAGTCTCGGGGGTTGTGGACCGGAGAGGGGCCGTCTTTAACCGTGTCTGCATACAAGCCACGAATAACAGGTGTGAAAAAAATTAACAGTATTTGTAATAGCACAGAACACGAACTACTTTGGTTTCGCTAACAAAACACGTAGGGTGTATACGCTGGAAACTGGAAGGTGTGGATGGATGTTCGCAGATCGGAAGACTCAACGTTGAAGGGTCCTGACCAGCAGATTCTGAATCTCACATGGACAGTCAGGGGAATAGAACCACCCAACAATTTTGATGAAGAAGACGAGGTCTGAAGACTTTCTGTGAGACAGTGGTCATGGCAAAGGAGACACGTCGGTCAGCGGCCCAGAATCGAGAGCCCACAAGTACAGCCGGACACATCAGCCGGGCTTAGTCCTGACGGGAAACGTGGAGGAAGGGTCGCCTGGTCAACAGCCGTCTCCCGCGGGCGGGACAGACCCTCCCACAGCAGTTCCCTCGAGGTGGCCCTGACCTGGCCGTGCCGGTGAGACCACCTCCAGGAGCAAAGTGCGGGACCTCGGGTCAGGAGGGGCCCTCCTGGAGGGAAAGGTGGACGCACTGGACTGATGGTCATCCGACCTGCGGTCGGCAAATGGCCCGTTCAGGGAGCGAAGGGACAAGCCGCAGACGGCAGGACACAGCTGCAGGCCTGACGTGGGCCTGTGCCGGACACACAGCCCTCAGGCTCAGAAGGGAAGCAGCGGTCCCCAGGGACAGGCGCCTGGCCAGCACCCGCAGCCTGTCCGCATGCCGGCGGTGTGCGGGCCACCGTGAGCGTTCCCGCTGGGCGTTGAAAACAGACCAGCACGCGGCCGGGTCGCAGGAGAGCGGCAAGGCTCTGACACACCAGCTCCGGCAAGCGAGGGGCCAGTGGGCCGTCGGCCTGTCACTGCGGGGTGCAGGCGGCCCAGCCCTCGGGGACACGCTTCAGCTGTGGGTGAGGGAAGCCCGTGCTCAGGTCGGCCCAGCAGCCCTGGGAGGCGAGCCGTTCCCGGAGCCCGCGCAGAGGTGGCGTCACGCTGCCACGTTGCCCAGCCCGGAGCCGACCAGCGGCTTTCTCCCCGTGCCCGGTGCCGCCCCGGGGCCAGGGACAGCGTAGGGGACAGCGTTGTTCAGCACACAGCGGGACCTGAGCTGCGTGATCCCAGCACGCGACCCTCGGGAGGGTGCAGCCCAGCGGTGGCCCGGTCCGGGCGACCCAGGAGCTGTCGGGCGGGCTCCGTGGGCATCGCAGCTGCACTGGTCAGAGCCCACAGAAATGGGGCCACGCATGGGGCACAGACTGTGATGCGTGCATCTCCCTGCATCAGAGACGAGACACTCACATGGGGGGTGGGGGGGACAGCATGGAGGTGACCCTGAGTCACTGTGGGGAGTGTCTGGCTGAGGCCGCAGCTGGTGGGTTTTCCCGCAGGAGAACTGCCCCGAGCAGGGGTGGGTGGTGGCTGGAGAGAGGCCAGGTCGGGGTGGAGGCGGGCGGTGAGGCTCAGGCAGAGGGAGCCGGGAGCCTGAGGGTCCTCCGTGAGCCGGGAGCATCCTCCTCGTGACCAGAAAGTGAGGGGCACTCGAACCACCAACCTGAGGGCTCAGTGACCAGCCCCAGAGCCTCCCCTGCCCACCTGCGGGCACCCACCTCGGGCCCTGTCCTGGCTCCGCCCCCCCCGGGGCACACATTCCAGCCCCCGCCCCTCCCCCACTCCCCCCATCACCTTCCAGGTCCCAGCTCGTCCCAGGGCCCCTCCCCCCCTCGGCTCCCGTGCACGGCACCGCGCAGCCATGTGCACAGGCTTCTGCCCAGACCCTTGGCCAGGAGCTCCTGTTCCCGGGACGGTGCCGTGTGGAGACGGGCGCACAGGGTCCGGGGAGTCACCAGGCCCAGCTCAGAGGACTTGCGGTCAGCTCACTGTCTCTCCGTCTCCCCAGGGCCGGTCCTTGTCCTTTAAGACCTTCCTCATCTGGGTGTTGATCAGCATTTACCAAGGTAAGAGCCCTGCTGCCCGCCGGTGGCCGCAGCCTCTCCCTCGGTGCCCTCGCCTCCCGGGACCACCGCAGCACCTCTGCGGCCCTGTGACGGCCGCCGGCCTTCCGGACCCCACGTTCTCTGATCAGTGAAGGTCACCTAGACGCTCAGCCTGCTTGTTTGTTTTGTTTTGCTTCTAATTTTTTCTTTATTGGTATTAGAGAGAGGAAGGGAGAGGGAGAGAGAGATGGAAACATGGATGAGAGAGAACATCGACTGACTGCCTCCTGCACGCCCCCCACTGGGGATGGGCCTACAACCTGGGCATGTGCCCCGACCCGGAATTGAACCCGCGACCTCTGGGTGCAGGGTCGACGCTCAGCCACCGAGCCCCACCAGCCAGGCTCAAACTGTTTTCAACTCGATGTAAACCCAGAAAACCTCAGCGAGCAGTGGCTCTTCCGGGGGGGGGGGGGGGGGGGGGCGGGGCACCAGGTTGCCCAGGTGCAGGCGCCCTGTGGACTCCAGGCCCTGCACCAGCCGCGGCCCACACGCCGAGTGAAGGGTCCGCTCCTCCCAACACTCCGCAGCCAGCGCCTCGTGGGCTGTCAGTCGGCGGGAGGGGGTGCCCGCCCACGTCCCCCAGCGGCCTGGCCCCCGGGACCTGCCTCGCGGCTCCGGCGTGGCACTGGGGCCTCCATCCAGGCAGAACGGGCGGTGAACTGCCACCTGTGTGTTGCAGGCGGCGTGCTCATGTACGGGGCGCTGGCGCTGTTCGAGTCGGAGTTCGTGCACGTGGTGGCCATCTCCTTCACAGCCCTCGTCCTCACCGAGCTGCTGATGGTGGCGCTGACCGTGCGCACCTGGCACTGGCTGATGGCCGTGGCCGAGCTCCTCAGCCTGGGCTGCTACGTGGCCTCGCTCGCCTTCCTCAACGAGTACTTTGGTGAGCTGCCGGGCTGTTCTGGGCCGTCCGCGCTGACTCGGACACTGACTCTCACGCGGCTTCGTCGCGGCTCACAGGGCCTCAGGGCCTCGAGCGCAGGCTCCGTGGGGGGGGGGGACTCGCTGCCGTGAGGATGTGAATTGAGTTGCTCGCCGTGCTGCGCTCAGAGGAGTGGGCGTGAGCGAGTGAGGCCCCTTCGCTCCGGGCTCCGTGGTTGGGCAGCTGCTGCTCTGGGAAGCGTGTCCAGCGCTCACAGGGCTCCGTGCTCACGCCTCAGCTCCACGAGCGCCGTGGCGGTGCCGGGACCTCGTCCACGCTGGTGGGCGTCACTGCACCCGTGTCCCTGGGCACAGGCCCATCCCTCAGCTCTGCCGTCGCCAGGCGACATGTGAGGCTGCACAAGAGCCGACGGCCCAGCGCTGGGCAGCTCCCTGCACCTCCCCACACTCAGGCGGCCTCTGACGCTTCCCCGAGCTCAGGCTCCCTGGGAAGACTGCCGTGGGCGCCCCAGGGCCCCGTCCCTGTTGGAGACACCGCAGCGTTGCTGCTGGACGCCTCTGACCCTGGCCAGGCCCACTTCGTCTCCTCCCCACACGGGCAGGGCTTCGTGAGCCCCTCCTTTAAGGGTTTTAAATCGGGCAGAGAGGAGGAGTGTGACACTTGTCCTCCGTCCCGGGAGATGGGATGGGGACCCGTCGCACTGCCGCAGAGCACAGGGGGAGCTGCTTGGGCCACACTCGGCTGGGCCAAGTCTCCAGAGGTTCTCGGGGAGGGGTGACGCCCCTGCCCTGCTGGGACATCACCAGCAGGATGAGGCCAGTGACTCCCACGCTTCCAGGCCACTGATTGGCTGTAGCTCCTGCGTCCACGGCAGCCGAGCTCACGGCCTCAGGCGAACCCGGCAGAGTGCTCACCTGGCCGGTCACTCCTGGAAGGTGGAGCCCACGCCCCTCGCCCTGGAGCCCCTCCCATGCGCCCTGCTGAGGAGACGGCCCCTTGTGGACTGAGCACAGCCTTCGGGAGAGACTGAGCCCGTCTCCTCGGCCGCCACAGCCGCAGCAGGAGCCCTCTCTGCGCTCGGAGGGAAGGGTGCCCCTTCGCAGCTGACCTGTCGGAGGGGCGGGGCGTGACGGTGGCCCCTGTGGGGGGGAGGTGGAGGAGCTCACACCACTGTCTCCTCAGCAGTGATGCTGCCAGGGGAACAGAGAGCCCGGGCTCTTGTACCAGAACGTTTCCGACAGACGGTCCCGGTGCCCACGGAGCAGCTGTCCCAGGCCGTCTGCGCTTGTGTTTAGGAGCGAACGTTGGGTGTCTGCTGCGTGGCCCAGAACCGGCTCCTGCTGCGCACTTCCCACGGGGATCCCCCACACCGTCACCCTCTTGCTTCTTCACCTGCTCCTTTCTCACCCGCTGAAACCGCAGTCTCCGCGTCTCCCCGTCTGTCCTCCGCTGTCTGAGCCCGTCCCGTCCATAGCAGTGTCTCAGGCAGGCAGCGTGGTCGCTTCTTTCAGTGGTTCAGGGACGGAGCAAGAGGAGTGGTCGAGACACTCACCGTAGGAACAGCCTCCCTCTCTCAGCTGCTTGCTGATTCGCGGGGGCATCTCCCGTGTGGGAAGGAACTCCTTTCGGGCTCCACTGCCCCCACGTGGGGGCCTCTGGGCGACAGTTCATCCCCCCGAACACATCTGCCTTCCGGTGATTGCAGTTGAACCCCTGGAAACAAACGTGGTTAAACACAGACCGTGACGGGGTTCTCGGGCTTGGACACAGCCCCGTGCTCCCCGCACCTCCCGCTAAGGTGGTCGTCCCGCCTCTGACCGTCGACGGGTCTGCCACTCGGAGAGCGAGCGCAGTGACTGTGGGGTCTTCACGTGCCTCTTCCCTGCGGGGATCTGCCCGAGGGCCGCGGGGTGGGCGCCTGGTGGCGCAGCCTGCTGTGTCCCTGCACCTCTGCTGGCCCCTGGGAAGGAGGAGCTGGGCCACACTGAGCACCGCACCAGCCCGCTGCCGGGTGTCCCCCGGGACCAGCACACAGGTGCCTGAGCGGCTGCCCGCTGACCAGCCCGGGGTGACACTGGGCACACACCCTGACGCTGGTTTCAGGGTTCCTGTCCGGAGAACGGCACCCCTGGTGGCCAGGGACAGCAGCACCTCACACAGGCCTGCGGTCCCCTGGGTGCCTCGGGTCTGGCAGTGATGTGTGGGGGCCCACGGGGCGGGGGGTGCGGCCTGTGTGCGGTGGGCGCCTGCAGCTCCCCAGCTGCTTCTCACGCTCGCTCTGCTTCTCCTGCAGACCTGGCCTTCATCACCACGGTGACCTTCGTGTGGAAGGTGTCGGCCATCACCGTGGTCAGCTGCCTCCCGCTGTACGTCCTCAAGTACTTGAAGCGCAAGCTGTCCCCGCCCAGCTACTCCAAGCTGACCTCCTAGCGCCGGCGCCGGCTGCACCCTGGGGTCCCAGGGCGTGTGGTGGCCACTGGCTCGGGAGCAGAGCAGAGCGGGCCCGGGGAGCGTCCCCAGCGCGGGCGGTGCCGCCGGAGGCTCCTCACCTGCAGGGCTCGGCCCTCCCTCCTCTCCGCGCGGACCAACCAGCTTCCGTGTCTGCCGAGAACGAGCTCGACCGTCACTGTCGCTGCGTCCACCTCGCTCTGGCTTCTGGGATGAGCAGGGAAGCTCGTCAGTGCTCTGCGGTGTCCTCACATCCAAGTGCTTCCTTCGACGTTAACAGAAGTCATTCCTCCTCAACTAGAATAAAACCCAGATGCTGAGCGTCTGCAGCTCTTCCCGGGGACGTGTGTGTCACTGCCGGGCCTCCCTGTGGGGCTGAGCACAGCGTGTGTCCCGTGGCTCCTCGCGGGGACGTGTGTGTCCCGTGGCTCCTCGCGGGGACGTGTGTGTCCCGTGGCTCCTCGCGGGGACGTGTGTGTGTCCCGTGGCTCCTCGCGGGGACGTGTGTGTGTCCCGTGGCTCCTCGCGGGGACGTGTGTGTGTCCCGTGGCTCCTCGCGGGGACGTGTGTGTCCCGTGGCTCCTCGCGGGGACGTGTGTGTGTCCCGTGGCTCCTCGCGGGGACGTGTGTGGCACTCTTGCATCTCCCACTGGGACGGCTCGTTCACTGCGCCCCTCCTCCCGGCCGGACGCCCAGTGCTCCTGTGGCAGCTGAGCGGGCACCAGGTGGCGTCTCTGCCTCAGGGCAGCGGTGGTGTGTGGAGGCCTCGCTGTGGGGACCACCCACCCCTGCTGCCCGGGCTGCACACGACGCACTTCCCCCTGTGCCCAGGCTGGTCCCCACCCAGCACAGGCCCCCGCTCCTGTGAAAGGGCGGGAGCGGCGCCCGCAGGGAGCACACAGGCTCTGCGGCTTCGGCGGCATCTTGCCCACCGCTCCCCTCTGCTCCGGGAGCCTGGCGGGTGAGGCTCCCCGACTTCCCGCGTGCGGCTGCAGGCCTCACACCAGGCGTCCACCTGTCCACTCCCTGGCCAGGTCCGCAGGGCCCGCTGCCAGCACTCGGCCCGCCCGCGGCTGCGGTGAAGCCGGAAGCGGGCGGCGCCCCCACACCTGGCGGCGCCCCCACACCTGGCGCAGGGCTCAGCCGGGCTCGCGGTGACCTCGGGCGTCCTTTCTGGCGCCGTCCACAAGGTGTCGCTGTCCACCGGCCTCAGCCCGCACGGCTGTGGGGCTGCCCTGGAGTAACCCCGGGCCTGGGCCGACCGGACCTCACGTCCCCAGCCCCCCGAGGGAGCCGGGCAGCGGGGGGGGGGGGGGGGGGGGGCACCGGCCTCCTCGGGGACAGCAGACGTCGGCGCTGCTGCCCGGGGATCGAGATGGTTTAAATCCAGACGAGCTTTCGCCTGTGACCTGAAGACTGTCCGGCCCGGGAGCTGGCGGGAGGCCGTCGCGGGCCAGGTGACGGGCCTTCGGGCCCCCGGGCACCCGGCTGTGCACCTGGGGCCCTGGGAGCCCCTCGCTCCGAGGAAGGGCTGGCCCGGCCCCGCCCGGCCGCTCGCACTGTGCCCGCGGGTCCTCGAGCTGAGTCGTCCTGGGGGGCCGGGCGGGGCAGGATCGGGCCGGTGACCGGCTCCCGAGGGCGGGTCAGAGGGAAGCCGAGGAGCAAGGAGAGTCCACACGCCGACCCGGGCTGCGGCCACGCGGAGGACAGCGCCTCGGACGGCCCTCGGGGGCGGGGGGACAAACGGGAGCCGAGGGGGCCCAGGGGCGGGCCTGGCCGGTGCTCACAGGCCGTGGTGGGTCCTCGCCCGCGAGCCCCGGGAGCCGGTGGGGGGCGGAGCAGCAGGGGAGCCGGCTGCGTGGGTGCCCGTCGTGAACTGCGTGGACCAGCCGTGCCCTCCAGGTGGCGGCCGGTTCAGGTCCCTGCGTTTGGCCACAGCTGGTTTGGGGGGGGGGGGGGCAAGACCAGTCTGAGGGGAGAAGCGACTGCAGAGGTGACGGAGGGGCGACAGGCAGGTGGACGGACGACGGGGTGGGGGCCTTGAGGGAGGGCCGGGGGGCCCAGGGGTGTTGGCAGTGGTTTTCCCTGGAGCCCAGACCGCGCCCAGAGGCTCCCTGCTCCTCCCGGGAATCGTACCCTCATCCGAGGGGCACAGAGCCCTGGAGAAGGACCACACCCCGACTGCGGTGGGAATGGGTGGGGGCGTGGGCCCCGGGGACGTGGGGACAGGTCTCAGGTGGGAAGAGTCCTTCATCGACTCTTCCTGGTCCCCAGGCCAGGTAGGTCCCCACAGTTAAGGTCACTGGGGTCAGAGAGTCGGCAGAGGCCCCTCTATTCTCCAGCAGAGTTTGGGGGTCCCTGTGTCCCTGCATGACCCAGACCTCAGGGTGCCAGGGAGAACACCCACACCCACCAGGGCAGGCCCCCCTCGAGTGCACTTTCCTGCCCCCCCCCCCCCCAGCCTCGTGTCCTGAAATGACCGTGGACTTGGGGGAAGCTCCTGGGCCCGCAGCCCTGGGGAGACCTGCGGTGTCCCCACAAGGAGAAGTAGCCACTCCCACCTCCCACGGAGACATTTCCGCCCAGCACCCCAGGGAACCGGGCCCAGAGTCCTCTCGTGTCCCTCCGTCCCGTGGGGGGGGTGTGAGTGATGCGGGAAGGACCCAGGACACATCTCCGAGAACTGAGCGCCCTCTCGGGCAGGTTGGGCCCCACTCACTGTGGCTAAAGGAACGGAAAGCCCCTGGGTGTGTTTCCAGAAAACTCCAGCAGGTGGCCCTAGAAACTAAGAAATGCCTGCTGGTCACCTCGTCCAGGGCGGTTTCCCTTCAGGGTCCACCTCTCCGGAGCGGAGATGACCGGACCCGAACACGTGGGATCCCTGTGGACCAGTCACTCAGGAAACCCCGCCCTCCTCACGTGTCTGTGGTCCTGGGTCTGCTCGGCCTGAAGGAAACCGTGGTCTCTGTTCATGACAGAGGCCGTGCAGGGGTCCCCACGTCTTCCTGGGGAGACTCCCCCGACCGGTGCGCCTCCTGCCTGCAGCCCCTCCCCATGCAGACACCTCCTGGGGGGGGGCGGCCTTGGAGAGGATGCTGAGTGGAGCCAGGGGAGCCGGGACAGCTGAGATCTAGCACCCACTTTCCTGAGTCCTGAAAACACTCCTTACTGATTTCACAATTTTCTAGGTTCCGTTGCCATGTGGCCTGAGACCAGAGAACCTGGAAATCCCACGTCTTGACTCTGGCGGTCGGTCGAGGCCCTGGGCGGGAACACCCAGTGGGCAGCCTGCTCGTTGCCCTCCGTCCCGCCCTGAAGACCATGTGCCCAGACTCCCAGCCAGACGCTCCGCACACTGCCTGTCCCTCTTGTTAACGGTCAGGGTCGGAGAGCCTGTCACAGTCCCCACCTGCAGGGTGCAGACCCAGCAGACCCTGCCCCCACCCAGGACCTCCAGGGACAAGGTCACAGCCTGGGTGGGGTTCGGAGCCGTCCCGAGAGCTCAGAGGCTCCGGGCTGGTCTGAGCCTGAGAAGCCCGTGAGGGGTGTGGACCACACTGAAGGACGTGACAGATTCGTCCTCAGTCCCGGAGGCCGCACGTTGGACCTCAGGGTGTCTGGGCTGTGCCCTCTCCGGAGCCCCGGGGGGAGCGTCCCGTCCCCACCGTCCCCGGCGCTGGGGCTGTGGGTGGCCCTGGGCTGGGGAATGCCCAGCTCCGTCTCTGCCTCGTGCTCACCTGCTGTCGCTCTGTGTCCAGTTCCCCTGGTTCTGTGAGGGCGCCAGTCACTGGGTTGGGGCCCACCCGCTCCAGGGTGCCCTCCTCGTGACTGATGCTGCCCTGTCCCCGGGTTCCGGTGGCTGTGGTTGCAGGGACCCCATTCCACCCAGTGCAGTGGGTGGTGGCCGATGTCCTAACATTCATTAAATAAACCATTTACCCCTGGCCAGTTTGGTTCAGTAGTCAGAGCATCTGCATGCAGACCAAAGGATCACAGGTTCGATTCCCTTCGGTCCCGGCCGGGGTTGTGCGGGAGGCAACCAATCAACGTGCCTCCTCCTCCCTCCCTCCCTATTCCTAAATCAATGGAAAAGGGTTCTTGGGTGAGGATTAAAATAAACAAACAAATAAGTTATTTAATATGAGCTCAGGTTCCGTTTCTTCCCTACCTGAAGGTACCAACATGTCACCAGCCGAGCACCAAGGTGGTGACTTTGGTCACTGCGTGCCAAGGTCCAGGGGTGTCCCCCCGCCACATGCACGAGGGACAGGCTCTTGGGAGGAGTCAGGTTCCTGAGGTCTGTGCGAAGTCCCTGGCCCTCAGGGTGGCTGGGTGGTGGCGGGCGCGGCGGCGCAGTGCAGGGCCGGCCACCCCGGTCTCCGGGAGCCTGGCCGAGGAGCCTGGGCTGAGTCTTCCGGGCCCGGGTGCCCTCTCGGCCTTGCAGCGGTGACTCCGTCTCTGTGGTTCCCGAGGAGACAGGTCTTGTCTCTCCAGGGGGCCTGTCCTGAGAGCAGCCGCCCCCCCCCCCAGGGGAGGGGCGCTGTGCTTGTCCCTGTCCCCTCGACCGGAGCTGGGGTCACACCACCCACGGAGCTTCCCCTCCTGGGTCCTTAAGCAGGGGAAGCTCTCGAGGGCGAGGCCTCAGCTTCGTACCCCATGAGCCTGGCCTGGGAGCATCGGCCACCAGCCTCCTCGCCCAGGGCAGGTCCCACGGGGACTAACGGGCCATAAGGAGGTCACGCACACCCGCCAGTCACACGCAATCCCATGTCCCTGCCACGTGCTCTGTGCTGTTTCTCTTCTTCTCACCCCCAGGCTGGGAAGTGCCCGGGAAGGGCCGGCAGGGTTCCGATGCGCCGTGTGCTCCGCGCTGGGCGGTGCCCAGCGGGCTCTGTGCTCGCCCCCCTGACCCGGGACAAACCGGGAGAAACCAGACCGTCGGCAGCAGGGGAGCTGAGCGAGCGGCCGTCGGCCTGGGGGGTCACAAGGCTCAGCAC